ATTTTTTGAAAGGTAGAGTGACCCAGAAAGAGAGGGAGAGGTGGATGTTCCATGCCCTGGTCCATTCTTCAGATAGCTGCATCAACTGGGATTGTGCCAGGTTCAAGCCAGGAACTTCTTTTGGGTGGCTTATTGAGGTACAAGTACTTGGGCTAGCTGGCATCCACGATTTTCCCAGCACTTTAGTAGGGAACTGGATTGGAAGGAGCAGCTGGGATTGAACCAGTGTGCTGATATGGGATGCTAGCTTAAGGTGCTTAACTTACTGTGCCACAATCCCTACCTAAGAATTTTAAACCCATTTGATTAGCATTCATAATAATACTGTTAACATGCAACTTTTTTTTCCCCCCATACTGTTGACTTGCTGGATTTCCTTAAGCTTAGGGCAGGGGGAGAACTAATGCTTACTCTTAGAGCAGGGCGTTCAACCTAAGCCTCTCTAGCAAATCCAGAGCCCGTGATTATGTGCAAACCGGAGGCAGTGTGTATACCTTTTAATCTTTGTGAAAAATGGGTCTGTGTCTTTCATTGATTGCTTAAAGAATTTAGGAGTACAAGATGGAAGTCACTGGCATCTAGAATACGGTTTGAGAATAGTTTGGACTTGATCTCTTATCCCAGGATATTTCACTCCTGCCTCATTTGACAGAGAAATCCCTTTGCCAACATTGTCTGTTTATCCACAATGGAATCTATTAAGCTTTAGATGTGATTAGATTTAAAAAGATAGTATTAAAACAAAGGATGTGTGATAATGTGGGAGAAATTATGAAGAGTTTCACTTATTTTCATCTCTGTGGGTTTTCACTTTTGTCAGTTAAACAATGTAGTACAGTCTAGTGTGGACTTAGGAGAAAGTTAGTATGTTAGTCCCTACACTTAGAACTAAGCCGACTCTGCCTCTACTGCTCTTTCCTCTTCCTTTTGTTTTTTCTTTGCTTTTGAACTGTTAAATATCTTGCTGTATTTGCCCCTCAGAGAATTCTCCTATTTCATTCTCAGTCCTTTCGCCTTCTCTTTTTTTCTTCTTTAAAATACTCTGATCCCATGATTAATCATGCAGATATATTAATTGATACTGTATTTATTCACTAAGCCTTAAGCATTCACTTTGCTATTTCTTGAGTTATCTTATATTTTAAAAATTGTTTGCGTAGTTGAGAGGAATGCATGGCCATGGGGGCCTCTGATTAGGGTGGAGAGTGTCAGGTATGGAGAAAGGTGGGTGGGATAAATGTTTCAATATTTTTTTCCTCATAGATCCACAGGGGAGGGGGGTTGGGGGTTGCTCCTTGCTGTCGGACAACATCAGAAGCTAGGGATGGGAGACACGCATTTGATGACACTTGGGAGAGCTTGGTGTGGGGAGCAGTGTTCCGAGGGTCTACCTGAGGAGTTGTGTTGTTTGTCAGCTTCATCACTGCATGGTTGAGGAAATCCCTCCCAGTCTGTTGGCTGACCAATTCCACCTTTAGTGCAGCTACAGGCCCAGGAACATGCTACAAAGCTTAACCATGAGAATTATCCAACCTGTTCTACCCTCCATCATCTAATGGGGCAGCTGATGTTCCCTGCTGGCCTAGATGTGCTGGCTGTCTTGTTCCTGATGTGAATCTGAGCGTGTTGTGCACTGTACAGGCATCAGCAACTGAGGTGGCCCAGTGCTGACACATGCACTCCAAGGTTGGAGCACACATCCTGTGATTTTCCCTGTGGCTGGAGTCTGAGTCCAGCAGTCTAGTTGAATCTCCCAGGAAATCTTGCTTGGGATTACCTCAGACTTGACTCTTGTGTGCCACAGCCAGTACAAGGTCAGATTTGGTTTATCACTTGCAACAGCCAGTGTACATACAGGTGGATGCAACTGCCTGGTCAATTCTGCCCCAGCCCTGTATCTCACATGAACTGGTGGGTGCTGTGGCCTAGCCTAGCCATCCTGCCACAGACTCAGTCCTCATGCATTTTAGCGGGTGCCATGGCCTAGTCGGGGTGACCTCTACTAACTTCCACCAAGTCCACCCTCAGCCCTGAATTTTGCACATGCTGTAGCCTACCCCAGCCTACCCAAGCCTACCCCAGCCCAGCTCAGCCTAGCCCAACCTGTATCCCACTTGTCTCTCATGCATACCCGTAGGTGCTGAGAGTTAGCTGACCAGCCCCCAGATCCAGTCCTCATGTATGCTGACAGGTGCCCTGTCCAGTGTGGCCGGCACCCAGCTTTGTCTCTCATTCTCACCAGTGGTAGTTACAGTCTAACAGGGGAGTGCCCACAGTTCTACCAGGCATGCTCCCAGGTTTGGATCTTGCACCCACCAGGAGATATTGTGGTCCAGCCTGACGTGACTCCCACCCAGTCCTGGCACTTACCAGTTAGTGCTGTGGCCTAACCCAGCTGACCCACACCCATTCTGGCTCTCATGTGTGCTAGCATGTGTAACAACCTAATAGTTGGCATTTTTAAAAGAATGGAATGTTTTTAGGCATTTCTGTTTAACAGTTTAAAGCAAATTTTAAGGCAGGTAAGACCATACACTTGATTCTGGCACAACTCTATTAACTTTTAGGTTATTGAACCTATTAAATATGTTTTGATCATGTAAGAAAAATCATTATTGACTTTTAGCAACACCGAATTTAACAGTCTTAGTGTTTCTAATTTTTCTGATGTTTATTATGAATTAATATTTGTAAATTTAATGTATTTTATGTAGGTTCAATTTTGAGTATAATGTTGCTCTGAACAACTTTATGTACTTTTTTCATAAACCATGCTGATGGGATAAAGAATTGGGATTATCGTGGCATAGGAATAAAGACATTTTCTGTCTTCATGCTTTGGCCTTTGGATTAGGCTTCATTTCAGGAAGTTACTCAGGTGAGCTCAGGAGGAAGTTGGATTTTGTGAAGGGAATCTCATGGATTGAGACAGAAAGCTTGATCCCACCAGTCCGGTCTGGCACCTACAAAGTAAAGTAGAAAGCTATTAGAACATTTGAGGAATTCTGGTCTCAGGGTTCATGTGGTCTTGTGGCCTGTCTTATCCTAGAAGCCGTGAAAGTTATCAGGACAATAAAATGCTGGACTCAATGCTGGGTATGTGCTTGCAATGAAGGAATCTCAACTGAACTTGAACTGTGGTTATGCAGCAAGGTGGAGGAATCCACCGTGGGGGGAGGGTTGTGGGAGGAGCAGGGGAAATCCAAGCACCTATAAAACTGTATCACATAATACAATGTTATTAACAATAATAAAAAAAAGAAATAAAGAAGTAAAAGCTAAAAAAAAAAAGATTTTATTTTTATTGGAAAGGCGGATATACAGAAAGGAGAGACAGAGAGGAAGATCTTCCGTCCGATGATTCGCTCCCCAAGTGAGCACAAAGGTAGATGTCGATACTATGCCAATCTGAAGCCAGTAGCCTCTTCTGGGTCTCTCATCGGGTGGCCTTGGGCCGTCCTCCAGTGCTTTCCCAGGCCTCTTCTGGGTCTCCCATCGGGTGGCCTTGGGCCGTCCTCGAGTGCTTTCCCCCAGGCCACAGATAGGGAGCTGGATGGAAAGTGGGGCTGCCAGGATTAGAACCGGCGCCCATATGGGATCCTGGGCGTGCAAGGCGAGGACCTTAACCACTGCGCCACCACATGGGGCCCTCCTAGACTTTTCTGATTCAGCTTGATCCTAGAGTCTGTTCTTAAGCTCCTGGGGCTATAGCTTGCTGTTACTCATCATGCTTTTCTAACTCTGGCTTCACCTGCCCGCCCCCCCCCCCTTCTCTGACTGCTTTAGCCTTCTATTTCCTTAAAGCAAAAAACTGGAATAACTCACTGTTCTCACCTTTCCCTCCTTAGAGAAGTTGGAACAGTCTCTTTGTAAAAAACAAACAAACAAATACATAGCCCCCAAAACAAAAATCCAGTAATACAACAACAACAACAAAAAGAGCATTCCTGTTGACCAGTAGTACTTAATTAGGTGCATTAAATATGTTTAATCAATGTGAAGCCTGGATAGTTTGTATTAAATAATGTGAATCAGCAGAGAAGAACAATGTTGAGTAAGGTTTCTTTTAGCATTTTATTAGCACATGATTCCCTCTTTAGCTTGGCTTAGTAAGTTCAGGATATATTAATGCTATTATAGAAATTGTGTAGGGAACTATTGACTGTTAAATGACAGTGCATGCACAAAGTTTAATAATACGCATGTTGAGAACTATTGCTCTCATGTTTGCAACACATTTTTCAATGAGATATAAATTAATTGAAAGACAAGGCTTTAGTAAGTTCAAGTTCATAATGTTAACACTGTCTTGGTTGTTAACAGACAAGTGACAGTAGTTTTATTTGTCGTGTAAAATTCATGAGTTCTGGTAAAGTTCATAATGCACAAACACAGATTTATCCAACTTAAAAGCAAGTGTTTTAGAAAGCCTAAAATAATCCTTTGAATAATGTTTCTCTGTTTAAGTGGAATTTGATTTCTTTATCTAGTCATTACTTGTTTGTGAGTAGTCTTAAATCTGTTAGTGAAGGAATAAACTACCTATTTTATGTTTGCCTTCAAGAGTAGGTATTTCTGATGACTATACAAATGTTGGTAATAGTTAATCCCTCTTTATTTTCTCATGTTGGATTTATCATCATTATGGAGTAAAAGGAAAAAGCTAAATACTCCAGCCAAAAATGGACATTTGGTGGGGACAATGAACATTTAAGTTTCGTTTCTTTGTACTAAGGTCTTTTTGCATAACTTGAAAATGGAAGGGCTTGTTAAAATTATCTTCATAGTTACCACTCATATTCATATTTCTTTCACAGTGATTTGAGTTGTAATAGACAGCATGATCAAGTATGTGGTTTAAACAACTAGTAACCTGTGTAGATTTGTAGATTAGGCAGGTATTTCTGAAACTCTGCTTTAAAAGAGCAAATAATGTGTGAATTTGTTTTCAGAGATTGAGATTTTTCTCTGTTTTTTGTCTCCCACCCTTCCCCATTTAGGTTTTATGGGATCACGGTAACGAAAGCACCATGGAGTTTTATGAGTCAACATATTTTATTGTCCTTATTCCTTCAGTTGTTATTACAGTAATTTTCCTCTTCTTCTGGCTTTTCATGAAAGAAACACTGTATGATGAAGTTCTTGCAAAACAGAAGAGAGAACAAAAGCTTATTCCTACCAAAACAGATAAAAAGAAAGCAGAAAAGAAGAAAAATAAAAAGAAAGAAATACAAAATGGAAACCTCCATGAGTCCGATTCTGAGAGCGTGGCTCGAGATTTTAAATTATCCGATGCTTTGGCTGTAGAAGATGAGCAGGTTGTACCTGCTCCACTGAATGTGGTTGAAACTGCTAGTGTTCGGGAAAGAAAAAAGAAGGAAAAGAAAGCAAAGCCCGTCCTTGAAGATCAGGTCATCAAAGAAGGAGATGCATCGAAGAATCCTGGTAAAAAAGCAGAGCCCGTCCCAGTTACTAAGCAGCCCACCCCGCCCTCTGAAGCAGCCATCTTCAAGAAGAAACCAGGGCAGAAGAAGTCTAAAAATGGAAGCGGTATTAGAATCTGTTTGACTTTACTGCATGATTCCGTTTCTCTTAATAACTTTAGGTCTTTGCAATTCAGATAGTTGGTGACATGAGCATGTTGGAGTCTGAAATAAGGATTATTCTTTTCACTGTTCTCGTTAATATTGATTAGTGGTAGAAATTAGTATTGCTTACAAAACAGCATTTAAAACTAAACTTGATATTGTAAATATAAAGAAAGCTTTTAATGAAATGCTATAAAATATAGCTTAGCTGATTTTACTAAAGCTACCAAGGACCTGTAAATATCAGTAAGCTAAAAGTCTATTTATTCCAACCAACAATTTATAATCAATGTAATTAGAATTAAAGATGAAAAGATAAGTCATAGTTTCTTTGATTTCACTTTACAAGCATTTGTCATGTAATTATTTTTTGATAGGATACTAAATAGTATGGCTATAAAGGAAATGGTATGTAGGCACAAACATAGGTCATTGTAATAAAAAAACATTTAGTATCATGATCTAGGTTTGTCTGCACCAATGTAAGAATTCTGAGGTGTACCCAGTTATAGTATGGACCACCTAAAAGTAATTTTAGATTTTGCTTAAGTATGAGCTAATTTTCTTATTTTAGTCATCACTCTGAATCCATGAGATTCTACGTTATTGGATTCAGTCAGCCCCAGATTAAAAATATTTTGGGGAAAAAGTGTTATACTGAATGTGTGCAAACTCTTCTCTTTTTTGTTATTATTTCCTAAGCAATACAGTAAAACCACCATTGGCATTCATGTTGTATCAGGTGCTCAGGGTAATGGTAGAGATGATTTAAAGTATATGGAAGGATGGATGTAGGTTCTGTGTAAATTCTAGATGCTTTTATATAACGGACTTCAAAACCCATGGGTTTTCATGTCCGGGGTATGAGATCCTGAGACTAATATTCCAAGGGACAGCTATACAGTAGAAAGGGCTTGTGAATGGTGCTGTGTGGGCCTTGTATGAAAGAACTTACTGTTAAGTTGGGGAGTGTGAAAATTAAGTGTATTGAATTTTAGATATTGGCTTGCCAGCTATAACCAAGGCAAGGCAATACACATGCAAAAGTAAGCACCCCATGTTTTAGTGGGGTAACAGGACATGAAAGCTATTAATAAAAAGTGATTTATATAAGAGACATACACAGTAGAGGAGAAACAGAGAAGCCAAAGCAGCTATGCCCTACAGGGACAGTGCCTGAGTTGGGTCATTAAGATTGAATCTCTTCATCATGCAAATAGTGGAGTCTTGTTTTGCATTGAGTGAAAGCGCAGAGATAATGCAGTACCGTGTTATTGAGCCATGTAAAATGGCTAAGAGCAAGTGTGAAGAGTGGTAGGGAATATTACGGAAAAGGTAGCAGTGGCTAGATCATGGTTTTTGTAGATTGTATTAAGGCGCTGGGATTTATAGGTTGTAGCCATGTTTATATTTCCAAGCATATTTGTATCTTAGATTTCCTTGTCAGAAAACTTGTGAGAATAGTTTTCATGGGACATTATTTGATATAGGTTAACCATTTAAGAGATAATTATAGTTGCTCAAAGTTAGGATGTAGACCTAAAAGGTATGAATTAGGCATACAAAGGGAAAATGATATGGTTAACCTCGTTATATACAGTGTGGAAAATAAAGACAAAGGGTCAAGGTTGGTAAATTGAAATCTGTGAGTCAAATCTGGCCAGCCTCTCTCTTTTTCAGTGGCCTATGAGCTGAGAATAGCTTTTACATTTTAAGTTGTTGGTAAAGAAAGGCCAAAAGAATATTTGGAGAAATGTGGAAATTCTGACTCAAACCTCTGTAATTTTTATTTTTAAAATTTATTTGAGAGGCCAAGAGGAAGAGCTAAACCATTCTCATGTAGATTCACGCCTCAGTTCCTGAGGAGTTGGAGGTGGAGCTGGAATCTGGGAACCCACCTCAGAGGACCCGGGAGGATGGCAAGAACCCAACCACTTGAGCTGTTACCACTGCCTCCCAGGGCCCTCATTAGCAGGGAGCTGGAGTCAGGAACAGGAGCTGGCCATTGCAGATAGCCCCTTGGATGTGGGACGTGGGCATCCTGATGGATGTCTTGATAGCTAGACAAGATGCCTGTCCTCATGAAGTTTATTGTGTGCTGTAGCAGTTGTTCAAGTACATCCATCTGTGAGGGCTTTCACACTGCAGTGTCGACTTGAATAGCTGTGACAGAGTCTGTGTGGCCCACAGAGCCTAACCTTCTCATTCTGTATCCCTTTACAGAAAAAAAACCTTGGCAATCCCTGGTTGCAGCAAACACTAGCTTAGGGGCTGTTAAAGGCTAAATGTGTTTGTGGAAATAAAAGCTTTCAGTTTGTCTTCCAAGTGCCTTTGGGACCATCCACTTGGAGAGCAACAAGGATAGGATAGGTTGGGGCAGAGTCTTAAGGTCACAGTGTATTTTCAGAGGCCTTAGCATAAAGGGAGTTGTACTTGTGAGTGTGGATAAGATCCTCCAAGGGGATGAGGATATGAGGTGTTCTGTAGGGGCGATACATGGGAGGCTGCAAAGGAATATTCCATGTAGCATTCTCAGGGGAGCTGATAGGGAATTTTTTGTTTTCTTGTGGAAGATAAAGAAAACATGGCATCTTACCATTTTAATCATTAAAAAAATATATTGCAAAGCAGATAGGACAGGGGTTTGTCACCTACTTGTTTACTCCCCCAAGTAGCCAAAGCAGCTGGGTGAGGGGCGATGCAGAGCACTGAGTCTGGACCTCCCACATTGGCTGCAGCTGCTGTAAGAGCTGCCTCCTAGAGTTTACAAGAGGGATCCGAGGCCAGAGTGGAACCCAGACATTCTGTTATGGACATGTGGATGTATCATTAGGCACGTTAACCGTTGCATCAAATGCCTGCCTCCATTTTCCCCTAAGTGTCCTGTTCATTCACATGCTTGCGTAGTCACCACCTCCTGCTGTCTTCTGAACTCAGCTCCCTGCACTAGTTAACACTACTTCCTCATTCCCCTTTTCTCCACCCCTATTTTCTGACTTCATGAATCCCATCCTGTAGGAGGTTCATTAAGACATACATTATTTACTCTTTTATTACTGGCTTATTTCACTTAACATAGTGGGGAGGAGAGAATTTTAAGAGCTAGAGACCAATAGAAGGAAATGCTAATGATTAGTCAGGTAAGGATTAATGAGATTTATTTGCAGAGTATTGGTGTTTGGAACATGAGGGTTCTGAGTTCATCCTTTTATATACTGCAAGAGATAAAAATAAGGTTTCAGTAGTTGAGAAATGATTGATTGAAACAGTGCAGACCAGGGTGTTGGCAGCCAGGGATAACAAGATGGGGGAGTTTTAATTTTTTAGGCTTGTTGCAGAATTGAGCTGGAAGTGGCTTTGGGATGAGTTATAAAAGAAAGGCAGTTACATGGAAGAAGTGATGTAGTAGAGTAAGAAAAAATTTAGAATGTAAGTTGTTGGTGAATGTTATGTCAGACTTTAAAATTGTAGTGGTAAAGCATTCTGAGATTTATTATTAATTGCATGTTTTGTGCTGTGTTCATGGTTTGCTATGATGATTGTTTCCATTTTTGTTTGCTGAAGATGACCAGGAAAAAAAGGTAGAAACTATCATGGCACCTTCAAAAAAACAAGAAGTGTTACCCCCCCATCCAGAGACTAAGCAAGAAATTGTAACGGCGAAGAAGAAAGTTTCGTCAAAGAAGCAGAAGACAGAAAATGGTGAAAATGTGTAGATATTTGTTTTATAAATGATAATTTTAGAAAAATATGGTAGGACCGGGCTTGTGGGGTCCTCAGTATTTATTTCTTTGAGACATGAACAGATAGCGTAGAGGTCGATCCTGTATGTGCTGGTATACTCCCCAAGTGCCTGCAGTATGCAGGGCAGGACCAGGGTGAAGGTAGGAGCCGAGAGTTCAGTACCACGTGAGCTGTGGGTGCCCAGCTGCTTGACCCACCACCTGCCGGGTCCCCAGGTCTGCGTTAGGATTAACCTAGGGCAGTACAGCTGTGACTTAGGCATTCCAGTAATCTGTGCTGTAGCAGCTAATTGTAATGTACAATACAAAGCATTGTGGCTTTGTAGTGCTTTCACAGATGGGCAGAATTTAAATTTGTGATGCAAAGATTATTTGAAATCTTAAAAAATGCCAAGCCTTTAAACTATATTCATTTTAAACTCAGTTTTAGAAAACTGAGGTTAAGTTGCTGCTTGTGATCCTGGCATCCTGAATGAACACTGGTTTGAGTCCTGACTGCTCCATTTCCCAGTCGGGCTCCCTGGCAGAGTTCCTGGGGAAGCAGCAGCAGCAGATGTCCTGCGTCCTTGGGCCCCTGCTATGAGACCAAGCTCCTGACTTCAGTCTGGCCCAGCCCAGACTGTCCAGCCATTTGGAGAGTGAGCCAGCAAGTGGAAGTGCTCTCTTTTCTGTCTCACTGGTTTTTAAGTTAAATGCATCAGTTTTTTTTTCTTTTCAAAAATGTGAGTAGCATACAAACCATATATAAGAAAAAGTCTCTGAATATTTTTACCTTTAAATACCACTCAAATGTTATACTTGAGGATGCTAACTGGATTACTCTGCATTCTCTGCTATTTCCTAGGAAAGGTATGCATGGGTTTATAGTTAGCATCTAATTTAACAGTAATGGAACAGTCTTTTTTGTGAGGAATTTTCTAAAGAAAGCAGTAATTTTCAGGGCCTGGCAGCGTGGCCTAGCGGCTAAAATCCTCGCCTTGAAAGCCCCAGGATCCCATGTGGGTGCCGGTTCTAACACTGGCAGCTCCACTTCCCATGCAGCTCCCTGCTTGTGGCCTGGGAAAGCAGTTGAGGACAGCCCAAAGCTTTGGGACCCTGCACCCATGTGGGATACCTGGAAGAAGTTTCTGGATCCTGGCTTTGGATCGGCACAGCACCGGCCGTTGCGGTCACTTGGGGAGTGAATCATCGGATGGAAGATCTTCCTCTCTGTCTCTCCTCCTCTCTGTATATCTGCCTTTCCAATAAATAAATAAATCTTAAAAAAAAAAAAAAAAGAAAGCAGTGATTTTCAGATATTACTGGATTGTGGTTTCAACCAGTGTTAGAAACACTAAATTTGGAAAGAAGAAAAGTGAAATTTTATTACTTGCATTAAAATTATAATTTGTAAAACAATCAGGTCTGTAAGAAACATTACCTGAATATATTAAGATTTATTTATTTGTTAGAAGTAGAAAGATTGAAGATTTTCCCTTCAGTGGTCAGCTTCCCGAAATGGCTGTAAAGGTTGGAACTGGGCCCATCTGAAGCCAGGTACTTCCTTGAGTCTCATGTGGGGACAGAATTCCAAGTACTTGGATCATCTTCAGCTGCTTTTCCAGGTGCTTTATCAGGGAGCTAGCTTGGAAGTGGAGTAGCCAGGACTTGAACTGATGTCCAAATGAGATACTGTGTAGCAGAAGGCAGCTTTAGTTATTACACTGAGGCACCAGCCCCAGTATTTAAATTTAAGAAGATCTATTTATTTGAAAGATAGGCTACAGAAGGAGAACTCTTCCACTTACTGTGTCACGCTCACTAAATGGCTAAAGGGTTGGACTGACGCGAGAAGCCCAGGACTTCATTTTGGTCTCTCACTTGAGTGGTATGAGTACTTGGCCCATTCTCTGCTCCTTTTCCAGCTACGTTAGCAGGAAACAGGATCAGAAGCAGCCAGGGCTGGCCTGGATGTGGTATGTGGGCATTGCAAACAGTGGTTTAACTCACTGTGCCACAAGTGTTTGATGCATTTAATTTTATATGAGAGAATTATATGCACACCAAAGCTGTCTCTGAAAAGGTAGGGTGTAGAGATTTGCTTTTAGGCCTGGAAATTTGGATCTCTAACCAAGAAACATCAGGTTTGGAAGTTTTTCAGGAATAAAATTAGTAGGCTTCCTTCCTCTGCTTTTAATATTGTTCTGGAAGTTTTGGCAGATGTAGTAAGAAGTACCTTGGGAATTAGAAGCATAATTGTTAGAATGAAAAGATATTTTCAAGAAACAGTGACTGTGACTTTTATAGTTAGTAATTAAAAGGAACTTAATAAATTCCTTAAGTGCATGAAGGATTAGGCAAAGTACCAACACAGATAAATATTTGTTTTTTTGAACACTGATTGAATGTGAATTGATACTTCCATTAAAACAAAACTTAAATGTTAAAGAAATGAAAGAAGGCTTTAAATACTATTAGAGGGGAGATACTACACATTTTTTGATTATTAAAATTTTAACATTACTTTAAAATATTAAGCCGATACTGCTTATTTAGAAATGCTTTGCTTTGTTAAATGATGAAATAGAAACTTAAAATGGCTAGTATTAGAGCTTTGAAAAAATGCATATACCATTTTCTTGCATGTTGTTTAGTTCTTTGGTTCTTACAAATTCTTATTATGGTTTTGTTGAACTTAAATTGCAGTCTTGATAGATGAACCCCTTATTCATGCAACCACTTATGTTCCTTTGATGGACAATGCTAACTCAAATCCTGGGATGGATAAGAGAGAGGTTATTGATCTGATTAAAGCCGACCACGTAGAAGGGATCCAGAAACCTGGGGCTAAAAAACTGAAGACAGAGACAGACAAAGGTAATTAAAGAATGGAAAGCTTTCAAAACACTTGACTTCTGAGAGGGCCAAGTGCATCTTCACATTCCAGCAGTGCATGGTGCATGCTGCTGGAATCCCGGTGCTGAAGGACTCTGGCGGGGGTGGGGCACAGGGTCCCTCAGCTGCTTGGCCTCCTATGAGATTTTTAATCACTCACAACTGCCTTCATCTATTTTGAAAAGCATGATTTTTTTTTTAAAGCTGTTTTAGGATGACATAAAATTATGTGCTTCTAGTCTCTACACATGCAACCAGTAGGTTTTTACAGCTTATGATGCAGCTAATGTGTTTTGGTTTGAGGAGTGGCAGTCTCTTTAGATTGCATTAGCAGGGAGCTGGGTTGGAAGATGTGGGTGTCTCAATTAGAAGTGGAACCAGCTGTGCCACAGTGCCCTCCCCAAGGATTTTATTGTCAGGATTGTGTATATGTGTGTGAATGCATGTTTGTATGTATGTATTTAATCTTTTTAGAATCAGATTTATTTATTACCATTATCTTAGAGTTTATTTTCTCATCCGTGTACTTTGGTTTAAATGTCGCAGGTTTATTTAAGTTAAGAATATTGTTATATATCTAGTGTAGATACTAGCATATGTTATATAAGTGAAGACATGCTGGCATTTTGATTAATGTAATTATCCCATGTTATAGGTGATAAACACTTCTCCTGCTCTTGATTTGAGCATTTATTATTTGACCAAAGATATAAATGTACTTTCTCTTGGTAATGAATTCCTGGGCCAGAAATTCTTAGTGCTTACCTTTGTTGAAGTCACTACTTAAGTCTTTTAAAATGTCAATTCCCTGTTTTTTTTCTTAATTAAGAAAATGCTGAAGTGAAATTTAAAGATTTTCTTCTGTCCTTGAAGACTATGATGTTTTCTGAAGATGAGGCCGTGTGTGTTGTGGACCTGCTGAAGGAGAAGTCTGGTGTGATACAAGAGGCTTTCAAGAAGGTAAACGTGTTTGTTGATTATATTTGTGAGCAGTAATTACAAGTTCATCAAACAACTTTTGCCAGAGGGATGGTGGTCTGCTCTCATCCCTAATGCCCCAAAGCATGTAATTACCCCTAGAGGTTCCCTAGGACTTCGGAAATTATTTCACGTGTCTCCTAATAAGTGTACTACTGCAGTTGAATCAAGTGTCTCTTGAATCATTGCTTTAAGTGAGAAGATGTTAGCCTTTGGCAGTTGGACATTGTATAACTTGCTTTGCTCTGACTGAAGGACTAATGTCAAGGTCAGGTGGTATCAATAATACCTGTAGAATGTTTTTGTGATTGAATATAGCACATTAAAACCTGAAGGATTGTTGTTTGGTGTGTGTGTATGTGTGTGATTGTAATAGTACCGTTTTAAAAGAAATGATTTTTAGATGCCAGAATCACTACTGTAATGAAAAATTTGTAAAATATCTCAAAACAAAAGTCCCCTGAAGCTAACGTCACTGTTCCTATGAGTCATGCTCACTGTAATACCACTTGTATATTTAAATACTGGGAAAGGTGATAAGGTTTCCAGTATTACTTATTAAAATAAGATGACATGGTATGTAGTATTTAGTACTAGGGGATGGACTTAACTGTTCTTGCTCTGATGTGTAGTGTACACATCCTTAGGCCCCATTCCACCCTATAACCATCAACCTGCTGTAAAAGCTTTGGTAATTTGGTTTTTCTTTCCCTCAACATTAAGACTGCTGTAATCCAACCTATTGCCTCTGTGCTTCTAATATGGTCTCCAGATTCAGATTCATGTTTCCTTTTAACTTTCTTTTTTCTCTTTTCTTTCTTTTTTTTTTTTTTTTCCACATAACTATAAAGTGACTGTAACAGATAAAGCAAGTTTAATTACTCACTACTTTAAAAATTAATCTTCGTGACTTTCTCTTTGTACTTAAGACATAATCTGAGTCTGGGCTGGGGTCATTTGGGACTAGGGAGATAGGCTGGGGTGATGTTCACTGAGGGCTATTGATGCTGGCACCACCGGCCTCTCTGGGTCAGGCTGCTGCGTCCATCAGCAAATGTGAGATCTTGATAGTCTGGTGCATCGAGGCTCCCTGGTCCAGGCCACAGCACCTGCTACTGGCAGGGGCAGTAATGGCTTTTGGTGTCTGCAAGCAGCCCATGCTTTCAAGTTGTACTGGCCTCAGGCTTGTCAAGATCATCAGTCTCAATGACTAGAGTCTGTGGATGTTGGTCTGGCCTTGGTACACACGTCCCTTGATTGGGCCACTTTCATTGCTGACCATGTGCAAACAAGTCAACAGTTTCTCAGAGCAATGATGATAATGATGCCGGGTATACAACCGTTGACATTGGTAGGACATTTTCTGGCTTATGAGAAGGATTTATTAGAGAGAGATTTCCAAATCCAGGACGCATAAGCCCTATGCTGCTAATCAGCAAAAAGTAACTATAGAAGATGTGATGAATCTGCATGTTTCAGCAACCCTTAAGATTAAGGGTCAGGAATTTTTAAGGAGGGATTGAAATGGGTCAGCTAGATCACTGGTTTAGAGTTGGAAGCACGTCACCCCCATTCTACGTGGCTGCCACCCACCTACCAATCAATCAAATGACCACTGCCCCAGGACAAACTTTTTCCTGCTTTGGACCTGGGGGTGGTGTCACAGAACCATCTTTTTGCTTCTATAAGGCAAACATGAGTTCACAGTCAAAATTGTTCTTCCTGCTGTTTTGTCTTACAACTGTTTGGACTTTTCTTTTCATAGCAGCATAAGTCTGTCTTTACTTCCAAGTGTTAACAGTGTGCTTTAGAAATCCATGGCATTTTGTAACGTACTATGCTTGTCAGACAGCTTCCAGTGGTGCCTGACTGGATTAAACAAGGAGTTTGAGGGTACTCAGAGTAAATTGATAACTCTATATGACTTTGACTACACAGTTCGATTGTTCTGTTCCAAAGAAATTTCTTGAGTGAAGAATCTGTCCTTTGGCTCATTTTATTGAAATTGGGTGAGCACCTGTCTAAAAAGAATTGTTAGCTATTTATTTTGAAAATTGGGAAACGCTCTTAAGCAGGAAAAAAATTTCTAGCCGAAGTTAATATATTACTATCTAGGTGTTGGAAATCATTGCTTTTAAAATAAGAAAGAAAAATCGTTGAAGTGTCTCCTGACTAAGGGTGTTAGTAGTGGCCCGGGAGGCAGGAGTAGTGCTTCATTGTTTGAGACAGCTTTGAGTTCTGGAGACTGAGTGGTAAATGAGACAGACCTAAGCAGCTCAGGTCTGTGAAGAGTGAGTGAAACAGATCCAGTGTTTCTGAAACTGTTCCCATTTTCCCTTCTCCTTGGAGTTGTTTAAAATCTTGTTCTTGGTTTCTAGCAGGCTGATTCTGTTCTCTACTGAAGCAACTCTACCCTCGAGTGTTCCTGTATCTGAGGAAACCTAGTAGAGTTTAATTTCTTCCTCTTCCTGCCATAGAAACTGAATCTTGTCCATACTTTATTCAGTGGGTTGCAAAGTCCAGATGTGAGTGGATTCCCTTGCTTAGTAAAGGCGTGGAGCAGGGGCAGCCCAGTGACTGGTAGATGCCAGAGAGAAGAGTTAGAGGACTTGCTGACCAGTTCGATACGGTGGCTAACAGAATCTAGAGTAACTGTACCCTCTTGTAAGTAACTGGGTAGCATGTTGTGATAACGGTGTTGTGAGTAGTGGCTTGTGAAAGGCATTTTGTGCATCCTTTGTGCCATGTATGTGGGTATTTCTCTAGAGTTCAAAGGCTGTAAAGGCAGTGATTTAGGAAAGTAGTCCTTTGTCATCGCTGCATTCATAGCGGATTTATGCTAGACCAAGCAACACATGCAAGTGAGAAGGATGCTCAGGAAGGAATTCTGGGCAACACCTGCCGTTGGAGGTCTTGGAATGTCACCACAGCGGATGCTGAGGAGGAAGGGATCCTGGTCAGGGCCAGCGGCTGGACAGCTAGGAACATCACTGCAAGGGATGCTGAGGAGGGAAGGAAGGGAAATGCTAGGAGTTGTGAAGACACGGAGTCCAGGGGCTAGGGAGGGATGGGCAGAAAGGTCACTTGTGCTCTTGTGTAAAGGGGACAAAGTAGAGAAGAATGGAAAAAGTGGGTTTAACTCAGCAATGGAAGAAACAACCAATACAGTTGAGAAACGGGCAAAGCACTTAAGCAGCTTTTCAGAAGGAGACATACAGGTGGCCAACAAATACATGGAAAAATGCTCAGCATCACCAGCTGTTAGGGAAATGCAGATCAAATCCACAGTGAGGTATCACCTCACTCCTGTTGGAGTGGCCAAAATCCAAAACACAGAGTAATAAATGCGGACAAGAATGTGGAGAACAGGGAACATGTACATACTGTTCACGTGCATGAAAATTAGTGAAGTTACTGTGGAAAACGGTTTGGAGATGTTTTTTCGGAACCGGAAAGTCTTGCTTTATGATTCAGTAAGTCCACTAATGGGTGTATACCGAAAGGACAATGAATCAAGGAGATCTCTATACCACCATGTTTATAGTAGCACTCTTCATAGTAGACAAAATTTGGAATCAACGCAAGTGTTCATCGTCAGATAAATGGATGAAGAGAAAATGTGGTGTATATACACAATGGACTATCAGTCAGCTATAATAAAGAATGGGATTGTACCATTTGCAGCAAAATGAACTCAACTGGAGTGAACTTATTCCGTGGAGTGAAATAAGCCAGACCCCTGAAGACAAACACTGCATGTTGTTAAATTTGGGAGATAAAATTTTAAAATAAAATAAAAACAATCAAAAACAAGGGAGAGGAAATGTCTGTGTATCAGTATCACTGCAGATATAGTTTTGTAAAGCTTTGCCTGAACTTCACAGCTTTGCTCTTTCTTGGAGGTGACGGCAACTGCTGCCTTGATGAAAGTTTCCATTTGTTTGATAGTTTGTCTTTTCGCCTCCTAGGACAAAAATAGGGGAAATCATGGTGTTGACTCTGGATTTAGAATTTCAAGTTCTGTAATTCTTTGTAAAACTGTTTCTCGATTGATACTTTCAGAATATATTTTGCCAAACAGAATAAATAATGTTATAGTATTTCATTATCATTTTATTGGCCCACAACTTGATGTCAGATACTGCATTTGGTTTCATTAGCTCTTGCTCACAAATTCTACAATTCCTTTTTAAATTGCAGTCCAGTAAGGGCGAACTGACTGCACTTGTACATCAGCTTCAGGAAAAGGACAAGTTACTGGTGGCTGTGAAGGAGGATGCTGCCGCCACCAAGGATCGGTGTAAACAGTTGGCACAGGTGAGGACCTTGCTGCTCCAGACACCTGCTGATCGGGCTGTGAAGCATCTTGGAAATTGTCCACAATTCCTGATTTATTCACCTGAATAGGAAGTTTGTGCTGTACAAAAACACTTTCGGAATTTTGGGAGGGAAGGGATGTGCTTCATTCTGTCACGATATTCTATCCCATCATGGAGTTATGAATTCAGGATAACAGTACTTATAGATATCCTACTTTCAAAATAGCAGAGGCATTCTGTTCAGATGTGTGGGAGTTTAATTGGCTCTGACCTAGATCTGTTCTCTGGCAGTACTTGGTGGGATCTTGTTTAAATCTTCATTATAGGATAAAAGTGAGCCTTGTGCACTGATACTTTACACAGAGGTCCTTGTGATGTCTGTTTGCTATTTTCAATCAAGTTTTTCTAAGAAGTTTTGGTCTGAGAAGATTTTAAAGTTTTTTTGTGTTTCTTTGGAGATTTATCTGAAAGGCTTATTTTGGGAGAGAGAGTTCTTCCATTTGCTGGTTCATTCCTGAAATGGTAGTAATGCCCAGTGCCTGGTTGGACTGAAGCCAGGAGCCAAGAGTTTCTTTGGGTTTCCCAGGTGAGTGCAGGTACCAGGGACCTGGGCCGTCTCCTGCTGCCTTTTTCAGTGCATTTGCAGGGAGCTGGATCACAGGTAGAATAGTAGGGACTCAAACCAGCACTCACAGTTTTTGTTTTTAAAGACATTTTGTGTCTGTGATACAAATGTGATCATGTTCTTCTTGAACTGCCTGTTTCTCCTTTTTGGAGGTTAGAAATAGTAAAGGAACTTTCTGATTCATTCACTTAGCTGGTAATGACTTCAGAGAGTGACTTTATTTGAAGGTAAATGATTTCTGTGATTTTGAAGCTAAATAAAGTCATTGGAATTACCTGATTAGATTAAGATCAGAGCTGCTAATGAAAGTAAGTGTCCCTTACAATTATGTAACTCTTACTTTTTGTCTGCAGTTAAAAAATTAGGAGTAGGTGAATATGAGGTAGGGGTGAAGCTGTTGCTGGGGTGAACGCATCCCGCATGATCGTGGCTTATAGGCATCCCCACTGCTCTGCTTCCAGTCCAGCTTCCTGCTAACGCATCCTGTCAGGTAGCAGAAGATGGCTCAAGTATGTAGACCTCTGCCACCTGCTCAGGAGAGCTGCATGGAGCTCCAGACCTCCGGCTCCAGCCTTCTCCAGCACTGACTCTTGCAGGCTTTTGAGGAGTGAACCTTTGGGCGGATGAGCTCTTGCGCTTTTTTGCATAACCATTCTCTCTGTGATTCTGCCTGAGATGAGAAAAATAAACTCCCTCCCCCCTAAAAAAAAGGAAATAGATGAACTGTTTTCTTTGAGGTAACTCTTTTCTTAAAATGTGTATTCTTATATCAATGTAAAGATGTATTAATATGGCCATATAAATGTCTAAATTAACACAGATAGCCATAAGTTACTAAAAGTTTTAAGTTTTCTTAAACATTTTCTTAGAGTGGAGACATGGACTAACTGTCACTGCAAATCATTTTAAAGCTGCTTGGTTTTTATGTACAGTGATGATGAGTGTTTCAGGAGTTTGCAGTGCTTGGGAAGATGGTAAAACTTTTCTTTTTGGTTTTGACTAACCCTTATTGCAAGCTTTTATTCCGCCATAGACTGGTCCCAGTCTTTTCCTCTGGGAAAATTACTTCTGTTTTGCCTTTCTTGACCTTTTTCCAAGACCTTTTCTTTACCTTAGAAAGGACTGACTCTGAGAGTAATAGAAAATTAGATGGTGTGCTTTAAAGTGTTCTTTCTTTCTTTTTTTTAAGATTTATTTATTTTTATTACAAAGTCAGATATACAGAGAGGAGGAGAGTCAGAAAGGAAGATCTTCCATCCGATAATTCATTCCCCAAGGGAGCAAAACGGCTGGAGCTTAGCTGATCTGAAGCCAGGATCCAGGAACCTCTTCCGGGTCTCCCATGTTGGTGCAGGGTCCCAAGGCTTTGGGCCATCCTCGACTGCTTTCCCAGGCCACTGGCAGGGAGCTGGAAGGGAAGTGGAGCTGCCGGAATTAGAACCGGTGCCCATATGGGATCCCAGCACGTTCAAGGCGAGGACTTTAGCCGCTAGGCCACCACGCTGGGCCCGGTGCTAATTTTGTTATAATCCAGTTAGAATGCAGATGTATTCTAAGTACGTGGCATGTAACTCTTAAACCAGGTAGTACATTTGAAATAATAGGGAACAGAATGATACAGTGGCTCTGAATGGAACTGGTTTGAGGAGCTGGTGATATGTGTAGATTTTTTAACCTTTGGCTTTTTAGGTATGCACTTAATGGTTCTGCATTTATGATCATTTTATTGATATTAAAATGTTCTTATTGTTATTATTTTCTGATTTGCTCTCCCAGGAGATAATGACAGAGAAAGAACGAAGCAATGTGGTTATTGCAAGGATGAAAGATCGGATTGGAACATTGGAAAAGGAACATAACGTGTTTCAAAACAAAATGCGTGTCAGTTATCAGGAGGCTCAACAGATGCAGATAAAGGTATAGTTTCATTTTCAATTAGGAAACTTTTAAGTGCCTTGTATGTACAAGACCCTGTGCTCTGCCATTAACATCTAATGACAAATGAACTCTTTTCCCTCAGTACGCTGCTTTTTGTGGGTAAGGATAAGCTGGGGAGGCTGGAAGCAGTAACCCAAGTAGACCATGACAGTTAAGTGCAGTGTTGGATACTTGGGAGCAGTGTGGGGTTGGAGGGCGGTTATGTAGAACCTCTTGAAACAGTTAGGTGTGGTTAAGCAAGGTAGTTAAAAACTAGGCACTGTGTGTAGAAGTTATTTGGTGGCTCAGTGTGGTGGGTACCTGAAGAATGTACTTTAGGCGTTTCTGCTGTAGGTTGTGCAGTGTCAACAGTTTGTGAGAAATGCTGTGAGAGAGGTGGTGGTTGGGGGCTGGCATTGTGACATAGCGGGTAAAGCGACTGCCTGTGATGCTGGCATCCCATATGGATCCAAGTATGAGTCCGGCCATTTCACTTCTCTCCAGCTCCCTGCTAATGCTCCTGGAAAAGCCGTGGAAGATGGCCCAAGAGCTTGTGCCTCTGCACTTGTAGGAGACCCTGATGAAGCTTTAGGCTCCTGGCTTCAGCCTTGCTGGGCTCTGGTTATTGTGGCCATTTGGGGAATGAACCCATGGATAGAAAATAGCTCTTGATTTCTCTCCATTTCTCCCTCTCTCTTTGTAACTCTGCTTTTCAGATAAATAAATAACTCTTTAAAAAATGTAATATTTGGGAATCAGGACTGGCACTGAGAACAGATCTGGAGAAAGAAATAAGGGATCCTTCTTAAAGGGTTTTAGGTGCTGAAGACTGGAGCCAGACGAGAAATTTAAGTAACCCAGCCGTGTGATTATATTAGTGTTTTAAGTTATTACTATGAGAACATTGTGGAGAGTGGAATAAGGCAAAGGAAGGTGGAAAGGAAGGTTTTGTAGGAGTTTAAGTCATAGAATAAGGCCCTAGAATCCTGTGTGGTCAGTGAGGGGATGAGTTTAAGTATGACATGAGAAATAAACAGAGCTTGATGTGGGAGGAGAGAGGTGTCAGCGAAGCAGGTCCTCAGGGGTTTGGGCTAAGGGACTGCCTGTCTGTACTCACTGATCTGTCTTCCATCACTTTTTCGGGAGCTTCAGTTCTTACTGTCCTGTGAATCCAGGTACGACTGGATCAGCGAATTTGTATTTTTTTGTTGGTGTTGTTTTGAAGATGATGACTTAGATGTGCTTGCCAAGTGAGTGTATATGCTCTCCTTAATTGGGCTTTCTGGACTCGTGTTTTATTGAAATGATTATTCATCTGTTAGTATATGCTTCAATTGCAAGGTCTGCCATTACCTCCAATTTAATACTAGTCAGAACTCAGGCTTGTCTGTGATTCGGGTTGTTTTTATTTTCAGGTATGATGAGCTAGTTTGAATCCTTTGGCTTTGTTCTCTCTTGCACAGTCTATAATTTGGTCTGAAATGTTAAAGAGACTATTTTTGATTATTCTTGATATCAGTGCTTAGATTGCTTCTTAGTTGGTTATTTCATTCATCTGTGCACCTAATTTTATGTTATGTACACTTTATATTTACTTTGCATTCATTGCTAAAAATATAATTCTTCAGGTTTGTTTTTAATTGGAAAAAGTGATTCAAAATTTCATTCTGATGGCGTTTTCACAGTCTTATCAAATGAGATTTTTAAAAGGTAGCTTTGTCCATGTTTTTTTTTTTTTTAAATCTCACGTGTGTAAAACAATTAGTTTCAGCAGGTTCGTGAACAGATGGAAGCCGAGATAGCTCACCTGAAGCAGGAGAATGGTATTCTGAGGGACGCCGTCAGCAACACTACGAACCAGCTGGAGAGCAAGTATGTTCCTGACTGCTCGATTTCTAACTGAGCGACGGGAGTTATTTTCTTAAATTCTCAAAGTGGTATTTGATAGTAATTGGCTGGTCTTGTTTCTTACAATTTGTTTCTAGAGTGATTTATTTTTCAAAAACAATTCTCCATGTGGAGAACTTCAGCTGTATAAAAATTCTGTGTATTTATATTTTATGTGAAAAATTACATGTTTACATAGATGTATTTATATATTATATTTAAACTTTTAAAAAAATACTAGCCCTACCAGTGGAACAGCATACAAATTTATGAGACAGAATTTACAAATTTTAAATCGTCTACCCCCTGCAGCAGTGGTTTTCCAGCTTCCTTATCCTGTAAAAGCACCTGGCGTGTTGGTTGAAAAAGCATGTTATGTCCTGTCTCTAGGCCAGTGTGCTCCAGTGGCCATGTGGAGGAGCCTGGGAACCTGCGTGTTAAGGCACATTCTCTGTGATAGTGGCGTGGTTAGTTCTGGAGCCGTGCTTAGCAGTCCCTGCGAGAGTCTACTTTGCTTATCCAGAGTCAGTACTCTGGTTTATTTTAATAGGTTTTCAGAAGACCCTTTGATGCACTGTTTATTCATGCGCATGAGTTTGTGGTCATCCATTCTTGCTATATATATATATATTTTTTTTTTTTTTAAAATATAATTTGTGTGAATGCTACATTTATTCAGGAATTAAACCCACTTTTCATTGCTAGTTGTTATTATGTTCTTTTTCACTTGACTGTCAATGGAATTACTAGCTCAGCAGAACCATTTTATTTGTTCCTTGTATGTGTTTCTAATACTGGGAAATTCCTAATCCAGTTACTGTTTTTAGGCAGTCTGCAGAACTAAATAAACTGCGCCAGGATTATGCGAGGTTGGTGAATGAGCTGACTGAGAAGACGGGAAAGCTCCAGCAAGAGGAAGTGCAGAAGAAGAATGCTGAGCAAGCGGTCACTCAGTTGAAGGTGATAGATCTTTACATGTATTTATTATTTCACGGATAATGAGCAAGCGGTCACTCAGTTGAAGGTGATAGATCTTTACATGTATTTATTATTTCACGGATAATGTTGACATGTAATTCAGTGACCTGCATGTGTAAGTGTGTAAGCTTGAGAAGCATAGTTTGTAGCTTAGTGGGGCTGAAAAATGCATACTCTGATGAAAGAATTGTGCATGCACTTGTATTTGAAGTTAAAGACTAGGTTTGAAATAAATTAGGGGCTGGTATTACAGCTCAGTGACACACCCTGCCACCTGTAATGGTGGCATTCTCTACTGGAGTGCTGGCCCGAGTCCTGGCTGCTCTGCTTCTGATCCAGTTTCCCGAAGCTCATGCTCCAGGAAGGCAGAGGAGGATGGCTCAAGTACTTGGACCCCTTTCACTCATGTGGGAGACCTGGATGAAGCTTTGAGCTTCTGGCTGTGTCCTGCACCAGCCTTGGCTGTTGTCGTCTTGGGGAGTGAATCAGCAAATGGAAGATATATCTCTGTCGCTCTCCCTTTCATATAAATAAATCTTTTTTTTTTTTTTAAATAAAATTACCTGATTGATCAGTGTAAGTAATAGAATTTCATCTTATAAAAAAATGTAAAATTACCTTTAACATCTATTTTATCATCTATAAGTGCAAAAAGTCTAATAAGTTAAGTCCAATAGAGTCTAATTTTTCTTTCACTGTTGGATAAGTAGCTTTTCTTTGCTTGTATAGAAGACCAGAGAATGTTCCAGTGGCTTGTGCTTGAGAGGTGATATACAAAAAATTACTTCACTGGGTCTTCAGCCAGCAAAGTGGTGTTTGGCTCAGTGAGATGCTGATACTGGAAGGAGAAATGTAGGGTTGCTTAGAGCAGCTGAGGGAGAAGCACGTTACTGTATCATTTTGCATGCACTCTGGACCATGTGCACATTGCATGAGATGATAGAAAATTATCCCTTCTTTTTATTGAGGAAAGAAATTGTGGAAAGCAAAGTTGAATTTGTGTAGGTTCAGTATAACCTCCCTGTGTTTGCCAATTGCAGAGTAGCACAGTTTTGAGGATTTTGAGAATTATTGAATGGAAAGTAGTGAACTTAACATTTCTTGGTGCTTTCTTGGTGTTTTCTGACAAACATTAAATGCCCTTTTGTTTCATGTTAACCCTGCTGGCAGGTTTGCTGCTGGTGTTTAAGGATGGAAGTAATTCTGTATGAATGTAGATAAGCAGATAATGAGTTTAAAGACTATGTTCGTAATTGGAGTGTTGTGCTTAAAATACATGTACCTCAAAATACAAATTTAGGGACTTGCTGAGGTTTAGTAATGAAGGCACTGTCTCATTTTTTAGAAACATATCAGCTGGAAGACCAGTGGAAAACAGGTCATAGCTAAGTGTATCAAATTTGTACACTGGAATAGCTAGCCATTTTGATCCAATTCTGAAAATACTGAGTGTGTGAACCAATCTCTAATCTGCATGTCTTGTATACTAGGAGGCATGATGACTGTGGCTGCTAAATAAGCCTTTGAAGCACATGCTATGTTAATTACGATAAAACATGGGAAGCTCATTGCACTAGGCAGTTATAAGACTCAACTAGCAGTAGAAGATTTTTCTTTTTAGATTTGAACCTTTGAGTTTATGCTACCTTGTCTTTCCCACCTTCCCCACCCTTCCCACCCTCCCTTTAAATATTAAGGTTCAACTACAAGAAGCTGAGAGAAGGTGGGAAGACGTTCAGAGCTACATCAGGAAGAGAACCGCAGAGCATGATGCTGCACAGCAAGGTAACATGTCAACGGGGTAGAGAACTGGGGTGGAGGTTCTTCTTCCTTTCCCTCTGTGAACAAAGTGCAGTTGGGTGTTTTGGTTATAGTGCAATAAAAGCGGATTTTACCCCAAAAATCTTTATTTTTTTGACATTTGTTAGCATTTTGTAATCAACCTGTTAGCTTTGGAGACTGAAGCAGTAGTTTGTATGGAACATAATAAAATGATAGGATCATCGATTGTGTGCTGTCTTTACGTAGTTATTCCCTTTGTTCCTTGATAGTTCTTTATTTTATTTTTCATTTCTAAGAAAAGACTCTATTTTATGTGATGAAGAGAAAAGTAGACTATTACCAGTCTTAGCATTTTACTTAAAACTGTGCCTGCTTAGTAAATACTAACTTACTACTGACTTGTGATTTCGTAGCTCCATGTGGGAGACTGTGGGGTTTGTATCGTTTACATTTATGTGTCTGGTGCTCTGTTTTTCCCTATGAAAGTGTGAGCTGGTAGAGTATAGTACCAGGTGAAAGGATAGACCATGCACAAGTTTGGCTTGTTAGACATCTTCCTCTGTCTCCCACCTCAGGAATAAACCTCTGATTGAAATAATTCAATGCATCCAAGATATTTGATGACCCATTTCTCTTTATGTAAATTTTAAATGAAGAACATTAGCTTATTTTTTTTAAAAAAATTGATATTTAAAAAAATGTTTTGCTTTAAAGCAATAGAGAATCTGTTTTTATTTGAAAGGCAGAGCTACAGAGAGAGAGAGAGAGAGAGAGAGAGAGAGAGAGAGAGAACACCTTCCATCTACTGGTTCACTCCCCCAGTGGTTGCAATGGCTAGAGCTGGGCTGATCTGAAGCCAAGAGCTTTTTTCCAGTCTCCCGCATGGGTACAGGGTTATAATGACTTGAGTCATCCTTCGCTGTCTTCCCAGGCCATAAACAGGGAGCTAGATTGGGATGCCTGTGCTGCAAGTGGAGGCTTAGCTTATGATACCTTCACAACAGCCCCTAGATTTAATATTTCACATTTCATCAATAAAGAATAAAGATTTTCCTGGAAAGATTACATTGATGAGCTATATATGACTATAGAGATGATATCTTCCTTTTACCAGAAGGAATTGCTCTAGAATTTTGCCTTTTGCTTTCAGTATTGTACTTTGTATTTCTAAACAAATGCAGTGTTCACACACGTAGGCATCCACCTTTGCTGCAGGAAATGAGGCCTTAACACACCATTTGTTCTACTCATTTCTTGGTTACACAGACTTACTCACTAAATCTTTGTTGTTTGTTTATATCATTATGATAGTAATTTATTGCTGAGCCAAGATAAACATAAGAACTGATTTTTTTCCTTAAAATGTTTTGTTGACATCTTTGTAGGGTACAGTGTGCTGTCTTGGTGTGTTTACACATTGGGTAGCAGTCGACTCCAGGATATTTAAGTTACTCACCATTCCTCACATTCGTGATTTGTTTGTGATGAGGTAGTTCATGGTGTTCCCTTTTAGTCACTGAGCTGCGCAGTGCAGTGCATTGCTTGTGCTCACACTGCGGGTAATAGGACACCAGAACTCGTTCCTCCTGTAGTCTGTGGCTTTGTGCCCATCGAGGAATCTCCTCCCTGTTCCTTGAACTAATGATTACTTCCTAGAGCTAATCTCTGATTTACTTTGCACCTGTTTGATCTTTTGTCTCACTGTGTATTATTTTACCTGTGGTTAAGACCTGCACACTGCCATATCCACCCACCCACCCATCTCAGCATAATAAACACAAGGTAGAGAGTCTGTCAGCTTTTCCTGGTGATCTCCCTCTCACAGGCTTCTGTTCTGCCCTAGCACGTGCTGCTTGTTAGCTTGATTTCTTGGCTGTCTCTTAAATTTTGTTTTTTGTTGCTCTGCCCTATTTGATTGGTCCTGTGTATTGCCATCTTTCTTGATTTTCTCATTCATTTAATAGAGCACATCTTCCTGTAACTTCGTGAGAGTGTGCCTTGAGGTACATTTGTTGAGTTGTATTTTGTGTGAATGAAAATGCTTTTATTCCTGCCTTCACACTTTTTGATTGGAAATAGAACTTTCAGTCTGTATTAATATCTTCAAAATTATTTGCAATGTTTAAAATTTTTTTAGTGTTAAATATTCTCATCTGAATTCTTGTCATCTGAATTTTATCACCATTTGTGTTTAAGTTTTAGGAGTTCTTTATTGGGTTGTATTGCTGTTAGTGTTTTGTTTAGAGAAAACAAGCACATTTTGAGAGACACACACACAGGTACACACACGTTTTCTCTTCTTTCCTGCATTGTCTTTCTGTCTTTGGTGTTGATCTCTCATACATCTTCTCTATTGCCCTCACCACTAACTCCCAGTTTTTAATTTGTTTTATAAGGCTATGAGGCTGTTCTTACAATAAATAGCTGATAACTTTTTGGAACACTTTCTCATTTTTTTCTGCCAAGTTAGTCATCATCACTATTTAGTTTGTGTTACTGTGTTTATGTCTTCAATTTGTTTTCTGATTGCATGAATATAATTTGTACTTGTTTCCTGCTTTCCTTCTTGTTTGGGCTCATTAAAGATAGAAAAATCACAACATTTTAGTTGGAAAATTTGTGTATCTTTAGATAATGGGATTTTTTTTAAGCATTTTTTAATGTTGTTGAGTATGAGATATTTCCAGGTAGCAGAACTTTAAGGAATTTGCAGAAATGTAAAGAGTGACTTTGTCAGAGCTCTTTTTGGGAAACAGAAGATAGTTTTTATGTACTATTTCATTTTAGTGTGTACTCTTCAGGTTTTTAATACATAATTATTGAATATATAGACAGTCTTAGATACTGAAAGAAGGCCATGCCTGGTTTCAAGATGCTTGCTCCCTAGGACAGGAAATGGATTAGTACAGTGTGGCAGGTGCTTTGATTAGAGTTTCTAGAGGAAACAATGTCTATCATAAAGATTCTTTAGGAGTAACTAGGAGTTAATTTATGACATTTTATGAAAAAGTAATACGTTTTTGCAGATTTGCAAAGTAAACTTGTGGCGAAGGAAAATGAAGTACAGAGTCTGCATAGCAAGCTTACAGATAACTTGGTTTCAAAACAACAATTGGAGCAAAGACTAATGCAGTTAATGGAGTCAGAGCAAAAAAGGGTGAACAAAGAAGAATCTCTCCAAATGCAAGTTCAGGTATTTCTTTCTCTTTCTTTAAAAAACCAAAACACATAGGTGGATTGAGCGTAGATAAGAGCATGGTGTGCCTCACCCTCACTCTGGAGTACTGATGGATGATTGCCTAATCTTTGAGCACTGTCCAGTATGCCTGCAGCTGTGCTCGTCCTTAGTTTATGCTCCTTGTATTAGATTAGGAAGGGCATAACATACCCTTAATTTCTAACTTAACAGTGGACCCTGAATACAATTCCTAGTTGTTGATAGTGATGCTTTTTGAATCTAAGCATGCCTCTTTGAAGATGAATAGATGTAACTCATTATGTTTATATACATTGAGATATTTATTAATAACATACTTTATGTTTTTGATTTAAAATCTTAAAGGATATTTTGGAGCAGAATGAGGCTTTGAAAGCTCAAATTCAACAATTCCATTCCCAGATTGCAGCTCAGGTAATGGTGCTTTCTTACTGCTTATCGTTCACAAGTATTTAAACAGCCATTTGTATGCTTGTGCAGTGTTGAAGTCTAGGTTAATAGTAGGGACACTAGTTAGTGAATTAGAAAGTGATGATGCTCTGGTAAAAAACACAGGCTTGGGGAGAACATGGAAGAAAGAAATTAAAATCCAGTCGACAGGTAAGGAAAGTGTTAGAGAGCTTTTACCATATGATGAACATTTGTCTGTGTCTTGTCATAAAACAGGGAGTTGGCCAAATGGTGTCTAGAACAGTAGTTTATGTACTAAAATATCCACTAAGTTAAAGCCTCGCAGTGTAACCATCCCGAGATTTTGCTTGCAAAAGGGTACAATTACCCTGTAGTAACTGGTGAACTTTCTGAAGTGTTCTACCTGTGTTGTAAGATGTGCTGTTCTTTGGCAACATTCATCTGTTATTTAGAATGTAAGTAACATTAAGAAAAGGGTGAAAACCTCCAAGAAGTACTTGTTTCCATTGTATGCGTACCATGAATTTAAATTTCAAAAATTTTAGCCATTGTTTGTAGCCCAAGTTTAGTTTAGTCAGTTTAGTCAGCCCAAGTTTAGTCAGCCCAAGTCTGACTTTGAAAGTTGAAGTTCGGACAAGTTCAGATTCTCAAAGCTTTGGGTCAGAAGCATCAGACAAGTTCAGATTCTCAAAGCTTTGGGTCAGAAGCATACCTTTTTTTTTTTTTTTTGTTTAAATTGAATTGTTTGTAGAAACTATAGGTGATGTACTAGGGGACAAAAGTGTGGGTGTGGAAAACGTGGGTGTATTATCAAGTTACCCTGGACCGAGGGCTTTAGTGATCTGTGGTGAGATAGCTTCAGAAAGCTCAGGAACCAACTAATGTAAGAATGCTATAAGTTGCTTTTGAAAATAAAAATGAAGATGTGCTTTACCAGGCTATTTAATGACCTTATTCATGAAGTAGATCATTCATTATTGAAAGTTGTTAGTTAAGAGTCAAGCTGCCCAGGGATCAAATGAAATGCTTTTGTGGCTATTTTTCCTATAAATTTGTTTCTTGTCATTTAAGTAGTTCCCAGGCCTATCAACTTCTGGTCTAAATGTCTTATAGCTAATTCCCTGATACTGGCTGTTGGTAGTCAGACATGCTTTCGGAATGGTAGCTCATCTTTGTTGAACACTCACAATGTGTCTCCTGACAACTTTGTAGACTAATTTGTCGTATTTTTTGAAGCTCTGTTATGATTATTATGCAAATTTTAAGCTTTCTCTCAAATGGTTGTGTGCTGACACTGTTTTCTCTCTTAGAACTCCGCTTCAGCTCTTGCAGAGGAATTACACAAAGTGTAAGCCTACCTTCCCACACTTCTCTTATAATCATATGGTCGCCACTAACTGCTCCTTGCGAGGTTTAGTGCTTACCACCAGCTTGATACTCTGTCCCATTTGGAAAACACTGTGAGCTAGATTTGGACCAACTTCTTTTCTTGCTTTTTTTTTTTTCCCCCTTTTAGTAAGTTGGTTCCTTACACGTTATATATTCTGTTACTGTGTATTCATTACGAGAAAAGGGAAGCTTTCTTTCATTGAGGTTGTTAGCAGTTGTAGAAGAGGTCATTGCATTTGAGTAGTGCTAGTAAATTCATTTTTGTATCTAGTAAGTAGTTGTAGTCTTTCTGGGTTTAACTACGTGGTTAGGTACCCAAAACAAGGTCCTATGGTTGTGTGTGTCTGGATGTCATGTATGGTTTTTTATAGATTACTAAAATTCAGACATTTGGAACCTGAAATCTGGTTTTGGTATTGCCAGCCTTCTGAACTTAAGTTAATGAACCTTTTTAACTTTGAATTTTAAAATAGAAGTATGTGTTTTAAGTAGTAGTATTAATGCTTTGTGTTTATTAGTAAGCTGAAAGGGATGATAGAAAGAAGCAACAGTTTTGTAAGGAGCTATTTAAGGATAGTGCTATTTAAGACTTTTAACCTTTTATTTGTGATTTGACTTTTGATGGTTATTGAATATACAAATATATTTCCTTTTAAAGGATTGCAGAAAAGGATAAGCAGATAAAACAGACTGAAGATTCTTTAGCAAATGAACATGATCATTTAGCAAGTAAAGAGGAGGAACTTAAGGTACGGTAATTTATATAAAAGCTCAGTAGCTTACAAGATGAAATTAAATTACGCATGTGTCTATTCTAGGTGAACACGTACATGTGAGACATGGAAAAAAAAAAGACCTTAGAACTAACTTGGAAGGTGTATCTGTTTGCTAAACTGTACCATTCTATAGATTACTAAGAAGGAAAAAAGGATTTCTTACATGATGTAATTCACAATAACTTGAGGAAAAGACTAATGAGAATTGATGGTTTCTCTTTCTGATTTGGGAAATTTATAATTTGAAGCTCTAAAGATGAATTACAGCTTTAAAGTTGGTTACATTAGTTTTAACATGGTATTCTTTTTTTCTTGTAGGATATACAGAATATGAATTTCTTACTAAAAGCTGAAGTACAGAAATTACAAGCCCTGGCAACTGAGCAGGTGGATGTTCATTGCTTTGAGCACTTACTTCAAAGTTCCCATTTATTCTTATTTTCATGGATAGTGTTATTTGATGCTGACGTAATGTTGGTTCAGAGAGCTGTCACTTCTGTGTTTACAGAGGAGTCTTAAAACTGTTCATGTGCTGAATTGTTTTTGCTTTTGCTGTTGAATCTGAAAAGGAGACATGCTTTATTGGGATAAGAATTGACTAGTGAGAAGTAAAAATCAGACAGCAAAACAGATTTTTTTATTCTTGTAAGTTATTCCAAATCTAAGAGAACAACTTTAATATGTAAAAATAAATGGAAGAATAATTTTAAGTACTTCCTAAGAAATGATACAGTTCTCATTTCTAACACAGGCTACTGCTGCTCATGAATTGGAGAAGATGCAAAAAAGGTGATGAAAGTTTCATATAAAGCCATTAAAACATTTATGTTTAAGTGTAATTGTTATAAAAATATTACTGTATGTAACTCATAGCTAATGTATGTGATTTGTAAAAATTTCTGAGTGTGTAAACTATTTTAATTGATGTTTTTCTCTTATAGTATTCATGTTAAAGATGATAAAATAAGATTGCTTGAAGAACAGCTACAACGTGAAATTTCAAACAAAATGGACGAATTTAAGGTACATGATTAACGCTTACGAACTCCGCTTCCTTAGAATAATTTTTTACAATTTTTGATTGAAGTGAATCTCAAAATCTAGATGTGCTTAGATTTAAAAACTTTGTTATACTTAAATAAATATGTCTATTTCTCATGATATTTAAAAAAAACATATTTATTTATTTATTTGGAAAGCAGAGTGCCCAAAAGGGAAAGAGATCTCACATCCTTGTACTTCACATGCCAAATGCTCCCAAAGCTGAGGCTGGGCCAGGCCAAAGCCAGGAACCTGAAACTTCCATTAGGTCCTCCGTTTAGTGTGGCAGAAATCAGGACCTTGGCTTGTCACCTTTGCCTCGAAGGCGCATTAGCAGGAAGGTGGAAGAAGCAGAAGCTGACTTGATGTGGAAGTCAGAAGGTGGAAGAAACAGAAGCTGACTTGGGTCCAGGCACTCTGATGTGGGATGTGGGCCCACTCCTCCATAAACTGACGTGTTCCTCGTAGGAGAAGTCGCTCTGAAACAGTGGTTCAGTACCTCGTTTTGGGGTGTGTGCAAATAGGCCTTTTTAATAAACCTGTTTTTCCCAGCAGATTCTGTTCTTAAGATAGGTGTCTGAGATGTGCTTATCCATGTTCCCTGAGCTTTGAGCTGCTGGTTTGTGTTTATGACAGTTTTGCCTTTCTCCATCTTGCTGTAGTACTAGTCTGGTCAGAGCCAACTGGTTTGACAGTGTATCCATTATATGAGTTTTTTTTTTTTTAAGATTTATTTATGTTTTATTGGAAAGCAGACATACAGAGGAAAGCAGACACAGAGAAAGATCGTTTATCTGCTGGTTTATTTCTCCACTGGCTGCAATGGCCAGAGTTAAGCCGATCCAAAGCCAGGAGCCAGGAGCCTCTTCCAGGTCTCCCACTATGGGTACAGGGTCCCAAGGCTTTGGGCCATCCTCTACTGCTTTCCCAGGTCACAAATAGGGAGCCGGTTGGGAAGTGGAGCAGCCGGGGCATGAACCGGCGCCCATATGGTATGCCAGCCGTTACAAGGCAAGGACTTTAGCCACTAGGTTATTGTGCTGGGCCCTAGATTTGAGTTCTTATGCCTGAATATAATTTACGTTTTCATGAGAACTTAAACCAATAATAAGGGTTTGATTGTCTAAGAACCTTTTCAGATGGTTGCTTTTTACCTTTTCCTTAACAATTGGTAAATTAATATTCTTTCTTCCAGATCCTAAATGACCAAAACAAAACTTTAAAATTGGAAGTTCAGAAGCTACAGACGATTATTTCTGAACAGGTAAAAGTTTTCAAGAATTAAAAAGTTGAAATATTTATTCTTTAACATGACTGGATTTCTTCTTAATTATCTACTCATGAGAAATTTTGCTGGAGCTTAGATTTGTCTTTTAACCGAGTTTATGTTCCTCTTGTGTTTATCATGTATCTAAATTAAGGGAAATTTCCTTCCTGAGATGAAGAGGGATTTCTTGAAGCCATTTTTGCGTGTTTGGCTCTCAGGCTGCAGGTTCTACCTTAGACTTCTGGAGCCTCAGTTTTCTCTTTCAGGCAGCATGTTCTTTTAACTAAGAGAATGAACTTGAGATGTAATCAGCACTGAAAAATCAGAGTGCTTTTGATCAAATTGTTCCACATCTCTGACACCTCCTGCCATATATCATTCACACTGAGATTGTACTTGCATCTTTTAAGTTGCATTAGGTTAAGTTGAAGCTTCTAGAATATACTTATAGAATACTTACAGAAGCTTTTAAGATTGTTTTATACTTTTTGCTTTAGTATTTGCTTTTTCTATCTCATCTCTACCCTATGCCATCACTTTTCTTTCTTACATATTTTAGCAAGTTATCCTAACTACGGAAGTTAAACTTAGGCATCGAAGAGAAGAGGTTTATTTTAGAAATAAGTGAAAAGTGGAATCTTTGGATTTGGCAGTGGAAAAATTGATTTGTGAAACATGTTTACAATAAGAATGGGACAAAATTAAGAAGATAGATTTGAAAGAGTGGGTTGAGGCGGGGAAGGGGTAAAAACTCCCAACTCCTTTTGTCATCCTGCAGCTGTCCTGTGTGTGGGAGTGCTGAGGGGGAATTTGCACTGGATCAAATAAACCCTAGCAGTGTGGACTTGAACGTGTTTAAGGGGGTGTGGTGAGAAGTGTCGGGGTGTGTTGGGGAACCAGCTTCCATTTCATGTTTTCCTTCTTTTCTAAGAGAAGTTATTTTTGGTTACTTTTTGTAGTTTACCTTCAGTTTTAAAGGACTCTCTATTTGGTCTGGATGGTGCTTGTGTAATCGCTCGCCTGCACTGAGCTGCACTTAGCTGTGTAAATGTAATACAGTCTTTTAGAAAATAAGTGGCTGCCTCTTACTTGACTTGTGAGGCTCTAAAGTCTTGAAATTACTATCTTTGAATGATTGGATTAATTTAAACCGATATATTAACTGCTGATACATAGTAATAATTAAAGAAGTATTCAGAGGGTAGTATTGGGGCAGAGACATTGAGTTGGCACTTGGCATGCTTGTATTCTGTATCAGAGTGCTGTGAGGCTACATTTTTTTTTAAAGATTTATTTTATTTTTATTGGAAAGGCGGATATACAGAGAGGAGAGACAGAGAGGAAGATCTTCCGTCCGATGATTCACTCCCCAGGCGGCCACAATGGCTGGACCTGAGCCAATCCGAAGCCAGGAGCCTCTTCCAGGTCTCCCACGTGGGTGCAGGGTCCCAAAGCTTAGGGCCGTCCTTGACTGCTTTCCCAGGCCACAAGCAGGGAGCTGAATGGGAAGTGGAGCTGCCAGGACTAGAACCGGCGGCCATATGGGATCCCGGGCATGCAAGGGGAGGACCTTAACCACTGCACCACCGCGCCGGGCCCGAGGCCACATTTCTAAAGACTTTTTTTATTTAAGGATTTATTATTTGTTTTTATTTGTATTAGTTACAAGAGATAAGGAATGACAGAGAGAGAGAGAATCTTCCATCTACTGGTTCACTCCTCAAGTGGCTGCAATGGGCAGAGTTGAGCCTGTCTAGAGCTTCTTTTGGGTCTCCCAAGTGGGAACAGGGAAGCCACCCTTCACTGCTTTTCCAGGGAGCTGAAGTGGACTAGCTGGGACTGGAACTGGTGCCCATATGGGATGCTGACACCACAGGCAGAGGATTAATGTGCTATGCCACTATGCCAGCCGCACTATATATTTGTTTTCATTTGAAAAGCATATTTACAGAGTGGGAAATGGGGAGAGTGAGTGAGAGAAAGAGAATGATCTTTTATCTGCTGATTTTCTCCCCAAATGGCCACAATAGCAGGAGCTGGGCCAGTGTGAAGCCAAGAATTAGGAGATTCTTCCTGGTGTCCCTCATTGGTGCAGGGGCCCAAGCACTTGGACTGTCTTTTGCTGTTGTCCCAGGTCATAAACAGGGAGCTGGAAGAGAGGTGGAATAGCCAGGACTGGAACCAGGGCCCATATGGGATGCTGGCACCACAGGTTGAGGCTTAATGTGCTATGCCATGGTGCTGGCCCCACTCCACTTTTGATGTAGTTTCCTGCTAATGTGCACCCTGGGAGGCTGCAGTTGATAAGTCAAGTGCTTGAATCTCCTCTGGAAATGTATATGTTGATTTCTAGACCCTTGGCCTTGGCCTGGTCCAGCCCCAGCTGTTGGTATTTGGGGAGTCAGTCAGTGGATAGATCTCTCTTCCTTTCTGCCCTTCAAGTGCAATGTAAATATTTAAGAAATTTATGTTGAAAAAATTATTCGTGTTACTAACTCATTTTGCCTGATTATATACTGCTTTTTGTGTGTCCTTTGTAAAGAGGCATTTCTTGTGTTTTTTTTCAGTTACATAATTCAGCAACCATTAGCAACTGTCAAATAGGGCCATTTTCCTGATTTTTGGAAATTATTCAAATCCCTAAGCATTTTTTTAAAATAGAATTTTGTTTCTCATCTGGTTTTTACCTCATTCAAATATATTAAAAGTAAACTTTCTGTTATTTTTATTTTAGCCTAGTAAAGATGTTTTGGAACAGATGGAAAAATGGTAAGGTTTTTGAATTTTCTTTTAATATTTGGATAACTGATTCGTATCAAATTTTAAATAAAATTATTAACTACAATAATATGGATTCTTAAAATTCTCTTTGTACTGGAAGAAAATATGTGTTACCGATGCTCTGAGGCCACAGTCCAGTTTGTGGGCGCCTCTGGTGCAGTGTTTCACTTGTTTAGGCTGCTGTGTGACAGGCAGCGTAGGAACACACTGTGGTAATGGTAAGAGAGGCCATGAGCCGTGATCCTCACAGACTTCTGGAAATCAAAGCTGGTAAAGGGTGATGACCAAGAGAGCTCTTCCTTGTATAGGACTTTGAAATGACATCATTGACTTTGGGATGTAATTTACACATCTCAGACATATTTTTTTATCTTATAATTTCCAGCATCCAAGAAAAAGATGAGAAGTTAAAGACTGTAGAAGAATTACTTGAAACTGGACTTATTCAGGTGGCCACTAAGGAGGAAGAACTGAATGTAAAGCATTTTATGGCTTTCTTTTTTGTGGGGTTATTCAGTGAACATGAAGGGGTTGTGTAAGGTTTTTCTTATCATTTTTAAATTCTGTTATTCACATTTTAATGGATTTAGATAATCTTTCATTATTTTAAAGATTCTTTAGAAATAAAAATATAAAGGTCCTTAGTCAAGTGGAGCAGCATATGTTTCTGCTTGAATCCATGTCCTAATTATCACGTAATGATAGCTGGTGGGTGCCCCAGGTCATCAAATGAAAGCCAGACAAAGAAGAGACTGCAGTTCTCTTACTGTTATCATTAGCCATAACTAAGATATGTTTGCTGGGAGAGTATGTTAAGGAGAGCCTGTTACTAGTCAACATGATGAGTGCATTTGAGATTTTGAAAATACAGGGAAAAATACTTGTGGGGATAATTAAACTAGTAATCCATTTTGATATCTATAGAAAATAGAGATTTGCAGAACAAGTGGAGCTTTCAGGTCTTCTCGGAAGGAAAAGGAGCAGCTAAGGGAAAGTGAGGAGTGATCTGTTTTGACATAGGAAGTAAATGTGTTGTGCTTGTATGTTTTTGAAAAAGGCAATAAGAACAGAACATTCGTCTCTCACGAAAGAAGTGCAGGACTTAAAGGCCAAGCAAAATGATCAGGTAATATGTATGGGAGATCCCGTAACTGCTCTTCTAACCAGCAACAAGCCCATTGTTTGAGTGTGACCAATCTGCTGTTCGTCTGTCTTCCTTCTTCTGGGGAGCATCTTGTGGACTGTGGGACTCTGAGTATAAGTAATAGAAACTTGAGTTGATTGAGTACTGCTGTTTGCCAGGCAGGTGTAGCGTACTCTGTAAAGGCAGGTGACAGCTGTGTCCAGTAGTGAAAGAGGCTGCCTGAAGTTAGACAGTTTTTTTAGTTTTCTTTTATATGGATAGAATTATTTTCCTTTGGCATATTTTTGTAATTAGCCTGAAAGCTTTTTACTTTCAAAATGATTGTTTTCTTCATTAAATCTACAAAGAATACATTTTTTTAAAATTTGGATTTTCATACAGAGGAAAATTTAACAGTGGTGTGCTCTTCCATTTCTGACTCGTTTATATTTTGACCGTATGACTAAAGAACAGTATCTTTGTGTTTCTAGGTTTCCTTTGCAACTCTAGTTGAAGAACTTAAGAAAGTGTAAGTAGTAATAATATTACTAAAACTGGACCTTCTTGTTTGATTCATTATTTTTAGTGCTTATAAGTTTTGTTTTATTGTGTAATTGGGACAGCCAATGTACATTAGTTTAATCCTCTAGAATTTTCCATTGATGTGATAAGGGAGCTTGGCTATGATTACACAAGTTTAAAATGATTTTAGAAAATCGTCTGTCTCTGGGAGCATCTGTTCGACCTAATAGTTAACGCTGCTTGTGTGGGTCACCACATTTTTGGTGGGAATCCTGGTCAGCTTTCTGCTGTGCAGACCTGGAGGGTGTCAGGCAATGACATGCACAGTGGGACCCCTGTTGCCCCTTGGGAGAACTGGATGGCTCCTTGGCCACTTGGGAATCTAAGGAATGCACTAGTGCCCAGGGTCTTTGTCTCTGCCTCTCTCTCCCTCTGCTTCTCACATAATAAAATTGTTTTCCATCATTTTATTTATTTTTTAATGGCATTGAATGGCTGATTTTCTGACTCTGCTGTGAGAACTGTTAAAGAGCAGATAATGTTGTTTTCTTTTTCTTTTTAAAGATTTATTTTATTGGAAAGTGAGATATACAGAGAGGAGAGACAGAGAGGAAGATCTTCCAATTTTCCGTCTGTGTTTTTTTTTTTTAACTGTCTGTGGTTTTTTTAAGATACTTTTATGAAGTTAGCTGCCGTAATTGTAAGTTCTGTCGTAGCTTTCAGAGCCTTGGAAGCCAGTATTGTTAAGTGGAACTTATTAAACTATGTTCTGTGGAATGCAAATCATATATACCTGTGTGCTTTTTAAGCATATCACCAATTCCTTGGGCACACGAACTTCAGCTTTCTGGTACTTGTTGATTAATTCTCATTTAGGAGAGATTTTAGTCTCTCTCCCTCCCCCCATCGTGCCAAGGTATGATATTGTGGTATAGTAAGTAAAAGCCACTTCCTACAAAGCCAGCATCCCATATAGGCACTGGTTCATGTCCCTCCTGTTTCACTTTGATCCAGCAACCTGCTAGTGCCCTGAGAAGAGCAGCAGAAAATGGCTCAATTTCTTGGACCCTGTTACCCATGTGGAAACCTTGAGGAAGCTTATGGGTATTGGTTTTCCTGGCCATTCTATTTGGCTGTTTTGGGAAGAACCAATTGATAGAAGATCTCTCTGTCTTCTCTCTCTCTAATTCTGATTTTCAAAGAAATAGAATTTTAAAAAAGATACTGCTATTTTACTTTAAATGGAAAGATGGAGGCAAGCCTTCATTATTCTGTGTGCTGATTCTAAGTTGGTATGTCTTATTGATTTCTATGCAGTATAATACTGCATTTCTTCATTTTAGGATCCATGAGAAAGATGGGAAGATCAAGTCTGTGGAAGAGCTTCTGGAAGCTGAACTTCTGAAAGTAGCTAATAAGGAGAAAATAGTTCAGGTATTGGGAGAGAGGGAGCTGTAAATTTCATTTTTATGTCTATCAATTTCAGTTAATATCATTGAATTTCATGTGTTTGTCTGTGCATTGCATTTTATGTGAAATTTCTGTGTTTCCATTGTCCAATCTTGTCTGTTTTGTCATTGTCAAGGATTTGAAACAGGAAATAGAGGCTCTAAAAGAAGAAATAGGAAATATCCAGCTTGAAAAGGCTCAACAGGTAAAACTCCCAGAGCCGTGGCATGACAGATTTATTAGTATGTGTTGTTTATGAGATTTTTTTTTTTTTTAGTTCCCAGGAAAACTCTTTAGTGGTGTGCTGTAGGTTTATTGGGTTATGTGGTTTTTATTTATTTTTATCTAAATTTATGTTCTTGATATTCTCATTCATTTATCTTTAAATATTGAGCTTTGAAGCAGTTTCCTAGAAATTCTTTTTTTATTAATGATGTATTGCCAACTTTTGAAAACACAACTCTTGGTGATTTTTTTTTCTAAAAAACCAAGTGCGCCAAAATGTTGTTGTATTGCTTAACTTCTGTGTGTTGAACATCAAGTACAAATTCTGCTTTGGGATTTCAGAGGTGTATGTGATAACCTCTGAAAATGGATAGATTTTGGTGAATCTATTTTGATAAGGTAAAAAAAAAAAGTGTAGTTTCATGTAAGAGATGATTCATTCATGATTAGACAATACTTAAGTTACTCCTCCATGTCGAAACACTGTGCTGCAGATTAAAGATGATGTGCAAATGAAATGAGGCATGATGAATGATCATACCTGTCTAACAGAGAGAGTTCGAGAAAGGCTCCTCAGAGGAACTGAAATTGAAGAGAAGGTTTGAAGAGGCTGTGAGATGAGAGTTGGGGATCACAGCTACTCTTGGACTGTGTGAATGAGAATGAGGAGGTTAAAAATGAACACTAGTACTGAAGAGTAACTGGCCTTGAAGCCTTTTGTGGAGAATTGTGACATGATGGGGAGAAATGTATGACTAGTTAATGTTTCTGCTTTTTACAACTCTAGAAATATAACATTATTTAGACTTACTCATTACTGTTCTTCCTTATTCTCAATGCCTCTTACATATTTAGTTTGTTACTTTCATGGTCATTGCAATCCAAAGAAGATGAAATCAAAACACATCTCGTTTTGGCGTGAAAAGTTCCCCTAGAGTCTGTGTACTTTGACATGTAGTTATTGTGGATTTTTTTTTTATCATAAAGCTTAGTTAGGTAAACTGAGTGGCTCATGAATTGCTTGCGTTTCCATTTTGTGTTGCAGTTATCTCTCACTTCCCAAAGTCAGGAGCCTCAGCACTTGTAAGTACTGCTGCTCTCATTCCCCTTAATCACCCTCTTCCACAAGTTAAATGCTAGTGTAATTCTATTTGATTTCAAGAAATATTTTTAGAAAATACCAAATTATTTCAAAAGGCTTTATAGTCTTTAAGTTTTTCATTATTGTTGAACATAATCAGTTTTTTGATGGAAAGTCTAACTTTTTATGATTTATAGTCTGAATATGACAGTAAGTTGAGATACTTCTCTCTTTGCCAAAGCTAGTCATAATTAATAAAATGTCTGAAGTGGCTGATCTTGACTTAAAGAGGGTGTTAGGCGATAGTGGAGCTGTCCTGATGTCTTTAATATTTAGATCATCAGTGGTAGAACAATTTAAATAGTCTTAGAGTGATTTTCTTTGATTGTTTCAATCTGATTATTTTTCATAATTTTGTATACCTTTATAACAAAATTTTTTTAGTTTATTTTAGTTAGCTTTGTTTCTGAGTATTACTCTAATATAGTATTTTTGTTCTTAATGTCAGCATTGTTGCTTTTTTAAGGTTGTAGCGTTTTCATTTACTGTTTGTAATTTATTGTCAGGTTAAAAGGAAAGGAGGAACAGATGAATACAATAAAGGCAGTTTTAGAAGAGAAGCAGAGAGACCTGGCCGACAGAGGGAAGTGGATACAGGTGAGAAGACAAAATAAATGTAAAAATGTCACTTTTTGGATACTTGAATGCTAATTAAATTCACGTCTATTTTGTTTAAGGATCTTCAGGAAGAAAATGAATCTTTAAAAGCTCATATTGAGGAGATAGCACAGCGTAACCTGCAAGAGGTATGGTAGAAACAGATGGCCAGCCTACTGCTGGGAAGGCAGGCGGGAACGTGGTGTGGGATTCTGAGCCAGAAAAATGATCTCATACTATAGCTTTGTTATTACTACTAAATGCAGGTTAACTTTTATATGACCCAGACATGGTTCATTAACTAATTTGTCAATCTAAGTGTATTTCTTTGTCCTTATGTTTTAGCATGAGCTTGTAAGCTCATCGTTGAAGGTCTGTTTAAGCAGTGCGTTGGTCAAATAGTCCTTAAGAAATGGATCCTAAAATTTACGGAGTATCTTGTTTCATACGTGGCTCAATCATAAGTTTACGTATATTATGTTTTTACTTAATTGCTGAGCCTTTATTTGTATTCTGATTTTCTTTGTTATTGGTATTAAAAATGCAAATCTGTTTCTTAGGCGTGTTCTGCATCACAGTTAGAAGAACTTGAGATTGTGTAAGTATGTTTTTATCCAGCATTTTGATGAAGAACTTTTCCTTGGTTTCCAGAATTTGCTTAAGTATTGAAATCAGCTTGTTCTAAGCCATTATGTTGATTGTGAAATATGAGTTATTGTCTGGAGACAAATAAGCTAAATCTCTTTGTAATAATAAAAGAGGTGCTTCAAATGTTTTTAAGTACCAGAAACCTTGTCTTTTCCAAGTATGAAATGGTCATCTGTTTTTTAAAAGAAAATGAAGGTATAAAGAGAGAATAAATTTATTTCAAGTTAAAAGCCACTTTAGTATTTTAAAGAACAATATTTATGAAGTAATTAGAAGATGATAATCTTAGATGTTGTCTTGATAATGACTAACCTTTTTGTAATAGTAACTTGCTTATAAGAAAAATAGAATTTGTTCTATCAGTTATCCTGTCTAGTTTGATGAGTATAGGAAATGTCTGTCATTGTGGATGGTAATAATAGAAGATATTTTATCTGTAGAACCTGTTTACAGTGCTGATGAAGGGTATTTGGACCTTACCTTTGGGCTCCCTGTAAAATCACTTGCAAGGGTGTTTTCTTTGATCTAATGCTTGTTGGTCTTAGTGCCTATTTGAAGGTGTTTTTTAAAGTGAAATATTAAAGATAGCTACTAGATCATCTGTCTTTCTAGCAACAAAGTGGGCAACTCTATTCTTGGCACTAGGATTGCTGGTTTGTGAAAATGGTGTTTATCGCTTACCCCTTTGTGTAAATGTTGAGGTACTAAACTTCTCATTTGCCACTAAGAACCTTAGAAGCTTGTTTGTGGTTTCTTAGTAATATGTTTATAGATCATGGAAGTACAGATTTCCTTTGCCCTTTCTTTTTCATTTTAAAACTGACTATTTTGAAAGGAGTAGTTGTATACTTGCAGGAAAACTTAAGGGAAGTATACAGGCACTCCCGTGTGGGATAGAACTAGCGTTGAACTTAGCAAATACTTTAGAGGTAGGATGTGAATTCTGATCCTGGGTGTGCTGAAAAGCGGAAGGTGATTTCCTGATTTCAGCAGATCTCTTTGGTAGTGTCAGGTTTATTCTAGTGGAGGTCTCTTGCTTAGGGTTGCAGACGGCACTCACTTGGACTTGACAGGTTATTTATATTTAGCCTGCATAAGGAAGAACCAGAGTATAATACATACAGCATCACTTTAGCTTACTTGATTAGGCTGTTGTAATTTCCAGAACCAATGAATTTTGGCTAAGATTTTTGGGATCAAAACTGATTTCTTTTTAAATTTATTGGTGGGACAGAGATTGAGATGTGTGTCTAAATGTGCATGTGCACACACATAGAGAAAAAGAGGAAAAGCACACACATGTGCCCTGAGCTGCCAGTTCACTCTGCAGGTACCTCCAACAGTTAGAACCAGGCCATGCTGGAGCTAGAAACTGGAAACTCAGCCCAAGTCTCCAACAATGCAGATGACAGGACCCAAGTACTTCTGTCATTAGCTGTTGGCTTGCTGAGGCTGTACATTAGGCGGAAGCAAGAATCAGGAAGGGATCAGAGACTGGAACTCAGCTGGCCGTCTTTTATAAGCATCTTAACAGCTCAACCCAGCTCTGGGCCAACACTTCTTTTCAGTGGTAATTTTTATGATACATTGACATACAGGTTTGTTCTTAGCCTTTATTTTAGAGTTTCTTCTTAGATAAGGCTATATTTGCATAAAAAATAAGTCAGCCATAACAATTTAGAATGTACTTGACTTTGATTAGTGACCCCGGATGTACTATCTTTATGCAAAAGGGTGAGTTAGTGTAATGTGGAGAGAAGGAGCTGGAAGGTATTGTTTGTATTAGATTTTTACTTAGGAGTGATATTAAGATATAGTTTTCTTTTTTTAATGTGTATTAGTAATATAAGTTCTTTGTCAAAAATTTAGATTGAAAGAAAAAGAAAATGAAATGAAGAGAGTAGAAACTACACTAAAAGAGAGGGAGAATGAACTTTCCAGCAAAACAGTGCTGTTACAGGTGAATATGTTTACTTCAAGTTATTGTGTAAATTATCAACATTGCATGTTTATAAACAGAAATTTAACTGCTACAAAAGGAAATAAAATACAGAGGTTTTTATCTTGGGTATTATTCCTGGGAAATAACATATCAATTGTTGATATGTCTTTGAGAAAGTGTTTGTGCATCAAATAAGTGCACAGGTTTAGACTTACTTTAAAAACATACTGTAATTATATCCACACTTATTTGGTTTCCTCCCAAAGTTACAATGCCTTTGCGGTCTTTTCTCTGTAAGCACATTTCTAGCTTTAACTTTTACTAGCGTCATGGCACTATGATTTATCATCATTTATATAGCAATGTAGTTGATGGATACCTAGATTATTTTGGGTTATTTTTCTGTAACAAAAATGTTGCAGTTAATATTTTTTGCACACATGTTTTGATAACTTTTTTTGGAATATCTCTATTATAAAATCCTTTTAAGTGCATAATGTGTAAGTGAATGTATAAAATGAATTCTTGGTCAAAGGCATATGGAGGTGTTTGTATTTATTTTTTTGAAGAATAAAATAATTTATCTCGGACAATTGGTATAATCCTCCCCCCCCTTCATGCATCTAGTGCTTAAGATACGTAGGGAACATGGGGGTGGGGGACAGCTGGTTTGTGGGTACCTCGTATTGGTACCTTGTATTGGTACGTAAGTGCTACGTATTGGCCGGTTTTGCTCCCATCTCACCTTCCAGGGGCTATTATGTCATACTTCCTCTTACTCCCAAACAGGTGTGTGTGTAAGTTGTGTACTTTTTTTGGAAGACAGACAGATGGGATGAAGGTGTTCCAAGTGGCATCTTAACTGCCTGTCCCAAATGCCTGAGTCTCTAGGGGTTGAGTACTACTCAGCTGCCCTCCAGAAGTGTTCTGGCTTACCCTCTGGCCAGCAGAGAGCCATACCTTTCTCCTCTCCAACTGTGACAAAGATGTGGATATTTGATGCTATGCCTAAAGTGGTGGTATGGTGTTTGTTGTTTGAAATGTTTATTTTCAACTTGAAACCCAGAAAGAGAGAAAGATTGATTCTCTGTATACCGGTTCACTTTCCAAGTGTCCTCAACAGCCAGGCTGAGCTAGGCCAGGATTCAGTGGCCTGGAACTCCATCCAGGCCTCCCGTGTGGTGGGCAAGGACCCCAGCCCTTGAGCCATTGCCGTCTGTTGGGGTTGCTGTGATTTGCTTTTGACTGAGAGGAACTGTGCGCTCTTCCTGTGTTTAAGCCATGTATGTGTGAATCATTCTTTCTTGTTTTCCTTCATTTCCTATATTCATTTATAAGATTCTTTTTAAATAGTAAGAGATTAGCCTTTATTATGTGAGGTGAATTATTTTGGCTTCATTATGGCTTTTCTCTTCATTTGGTAGTTTTCTGTTCAAGTTTATACTCAAATGTAAGTGGTTACCTGGTTTAAGTCTTGGGAAGAAAGGTATTGTTCACTTTGGTCATAAACATCTTTTTACATGCTTTCTTCTAATATGTTGACAACTGTTGTTTGCCTAAGTATTTTATTTCAGTTGTGTCATAATATTGTAACTTCCTATTTATTTTAGAAAAGGGCTTGCCATGTTGCTAAATAATTAATCATTACAACAGTAGTCCTCCCCAAGGGACATCTTTGCTGGTCCCAGCGGGGTAAGAGGGTTCTTCATCTGGCAGGTAGAGAGCATGGATGCTGTTAAATGTCCTACAGGATGGCGCCTCATGTCAAAGAAACGTTTCACATAAAATGCCACAAGCATCACACCTGAAAAGCCTAGCTCTGCTGGTGATTGGAAGTGTCATCTTACACGAGATTCCTGCTGGTGTTTGGATCCGTTTTTGGATTCTGTTTGGTCCCATTGCAGCATGCCCACTCCCAGACTAGTACTAAATATGATTGCTTTGTTTGTACACTGTATTTTACTATAGGGCCTATTTTACCTTTGAAAGTCATATTTTGGAACTTTTCAGAAGTTTATATGGAAAATAAAAATCTGTTCAGGCATTCATGTTTAGTTTTTGTTTACATAGGAAGTGCAGAGTGAAAACAAATTGTTGAAGTCCCAAATTGAACAGCTTAAAGAACAGACCTACCAAGAGGTAGGTACTGTTAGATATCTTGCCTTTTGTTTATGTAATGAATTATTTAACCAGTTTCTGTTTATAGGTATTGTCACTTTTTCATTTTCATTGAGAATAAAGTGTTGATGTTTTAATCCATGTCTTTTATAAAAGTTATGCCATAGCCACTATAAAACACTTTATAATTTTGGGCAGACATTTGGGTTAGTAGTTATGAGACCAGCTAAGAAACCCATTTTCCATGTCTGAGTACCCTTTTTTTTTCTTTTTAAAACCTACTTATTGGAAAGGCAGAGCCCCAGAGAGAAAAGGAGAGACACAGCAAGAGAGAAATCTTCCATCCTTCATTCTTCAAATAGCTGTAACATCAGGTCTAGACCACGACAGTGGAGCTCCATGCCACTCTTCTAATGGGTGGAAGAGGCCCAAGAACTTGAGTCTTTATTTCTTGCCTTTCCAAGTGTAATAGCAGGAAGCTGGATGGGAAGTAGAATGCCTGGAACTTGAACTGGCACTCTGATATATAGGATGCTTGCATTTTTGGCAGAAACTTAACTGGCTATGCCACAACTTCTGCCTGCAGCTTATTTTGATGTCCACGTGTAACTTTTGACTACAGCGTCCTGCAAAAGGGAACTTTGAGAGACCTGATGACAGCTCAGTGTGGACTCCTGCCATGTGTGTGCCATACTTGAATTAGATTCCTGGTTCTCTGATTTGGCATCTGAGGAGTAAAACAGTAGATGGGAGTGTGCTCTGTTTCTCTCTGTCTCCACTAAAGACAATTCTGTGATTCTAAAATGTGCAGCAATATTGCAGTCTATTCTCTAGCTCTGTTTTGTGTGTTTGAGTTTTCTGACCCCCTTGAGTGCTTTTCTTAGCAAGTCAGTGAAAATCTCATAATGATCAGTTTCAGTGTATGTGTATGACCCATTCAGCCCTTTGCTTAAAGAAAGGAACAGTGATTGTAGGGAAACTAAACATGGTTAGTATTGTAGTAGTACATTGACACTATTTAAGATAACCTTTTCAAGGATAATTCTGTTTTGTAAAAAGCAATGAAAGTGTGTGTTTCAAGATACATTACCCACAATTTCCTTCAAATTAATTGATGAATAGACTTGAAAGTATCTGGAAATCCAGAATTCAAATGCTTGTAGTCAAATATGAATTGTAGAGTGTAAAAACTTGAAATATCTCAGTACTTTACACAGAAAATTGGTTAATACTTATTAATTATTTATGTAGTGACAAGATGGGATTTAGCAGTTAGCGCAGCTTCTAGATTTGTACATATGTATATATATATGTACATTTTTTATTGATTAAAGATAAGGCTCTAATGTGATATTTTTACCTTTGGCATTGTCTTAGTTTATATCTAAGAATTTAATTGTTTAAAATCTTCTAGAAAGCTTTGTTTTGAAATATTGCTTGTTTTTTTTAACAGACATCATCTTTTCCCCCTCATGAAGAATTATTAAAAGTGTAAGTAATAAGCTTGATTCACAGTTTGGGAAGTGGTAATTATTTTTATGTTCTGTCGGCTTTCAGGTAAGCAGTGAATGTAACTGCAAGTGGTGATGTAGAAATTTCTTATAGTTCTGTTTGAATATCTTGAACTACAGGTTACTAGAATATAAATGTTCCTTTGGCTGGCTCATTCTCCTTGTTAAAGTATATATGAATTTCTTTGTTTTGAACGAGGTTCTTGGTCTTGCTTCTTAAACATTCAAAAAACATTCAAAGTATACTGTTCTTTGGGTCTTTGCTAACTTGGTTATCTCAGTTGTTCTCCTGAGTCCTGTCTTCTGATATCATTGTGGAATTGAATTATGCAAACTTCTGTTTAACTTTGGTATTTTAGGAAATGCATAAATTGTGTGATTGCTATATTAAGGAGAATTTATTTTTGTACTGAAAAATGTTTTTCTTGCCAGTTTGTAGTTTGTCTGTGAAGCTACATTTAATTAAGATCATTTCAGAGAAGTTGTATGTTTCAAGAAGTTTAATGTCTACCAGTCATGTCAGTAGGTTATAAAAACAGTAAATATTTTTCTTGTTGACTTATCTATAAGCAAATGCTACTAGGTTTGAATTGTGATTTTTAAATGAAGTCTTGAATTTGACTATATGAAGCCAAGGCCAATAAACATTTGCTGCTAAATGTTTAATTGTATATATTTTAGAGTTTGTGGGGCAACATATATCTGTTACCTTTTACTTAGAATAATCCTTGAACAACTTTATAAAATAAACTGTCCTTACTTTGAACATTATACAACAGATTTTGGGCTAGACTTCTTATTCTTAGGAAATAGCTATTTGTAATTTAGTTTTTACCCCAACCGATTAGCAGTGGTAAGAAAACTGCATTGTGGATCTTTGCCATTGAATTTTGCATTTCTTGGAAATTTCTAATTGTTGGTCAAGACTAGAAAACCACTAAATCCTAAGATGTGTAAGCATGGCAAGAGGACACTTAGTCACAGTAGTATTTTTCTTTAGCCACATAAAGTCTTAGCACACACAGAAACTGACTTTCTATATCATTTTCACTGCTCTGAAAATAGCTACTGCATTGACCCAGCTGAAAAAAGAAGTAACTACAGCTGTACAGTTTTCATTCACGAAGTTTCCTAGGGGCTGAGATTTCTTATTAGCATATACCTCAACATCTGTTGTAAAAGCGTAATTTAAACATTATTTCTGAAACTGAGAACTCAAGAGGTGGGGATTTTTGTGGCAATGCTAGTAGCTTAGTTGTTAAATTAGTGCATTTTTTTCAAAGCATCATTTATCTGTTGGTCACTTAGAGTAACAAATGTTGGTACTGGTTATTAAACTGTGTTAGCTTTCCCCCTAAACTCTTGCTCTATGTATTAATGTTTTGGCTTAGAATTTCGGAAAGAGAAAAAGAAATAGCTGATCTCCAGAGCAAGTTAGAATCCCTGAAGGATGCTGTGGAGCACCAGAGGAAGAAAAACAACGTAAGCAGATCTGGGTCGCAGCCAGGCTTTTGTTTTGTTATTTCACCACTGAAATGCAGTTCGGAATCCTTCTTTGAATCTACCTTTGACTTTAGATTTCTGAGGCTATGTGTGGCTTTTGGAGAGAGGACAGTACTTATTGTTTCATTGCAGAGTAGATTTTTAAAAATAAGTGAACAGGTCAGTTTTTACACATGAATTTGATTATAGGTGTTGATGTTAAACTATACCTTTAGGCTTTTTTTTTTTCTTTTTAACTAAAAATGCAGTTGAGTTTTTGTTGAACTTTTATTAGGGCAAATAACTTTTCCAACCTACTACTTAAAATCAAATATATTTCCTGATGACTATGCTAGCCATTTTTGAAGACTGAATATAATGTTAGTATCCAGACCAAGTATGCTCATTATTTTTTGAAGGTTTCTGAAACCTTTAAGCTGAGAGTGCAAATACTGGCGACTAAATGTGTTAGAGGCTTTAGAATCTGCTTGTAGTTATTAGTGTGGGAAAGAAGGTACGTTACGAAATAAAGGTCCTAATGCTTTTACTGAATTCACAAATAGAACATTTGAGTGAATCCCTCACTTTCTTTCTTACTAGAGGTAACACCTGCAGATAGATTCCAAGCATTCTCTTGCCACAGAGAATTTTCACATGCAAAATTTTGATTACGATGACTTGAGCAGAACTTAAATGTTACTAAAATCTGAGGGAATATTTTTAGTAAGCAGGATGTATGTTTTATAATGTGAAATATTTTCAAAGCTATGTTAAATTTTAACTACTTTGTTTTCTTGCACCTCTGAGTTTGTCAAAATTAGGTCATGCATTGCCCTTTTGTGCGTTGGATAACATCACTAACAGCATTGCTGGCCATAGAACTTGAGGTGAACTTGCTAAAAAATTGCTAACACCTTAACGGATGTTTCATTATTGGGGTTCTGAGGAGGGCAGGGTGATGCCAGTCTAGGACAACAGTAGTGTTGGAAGTGTGATAGCATGAGGGAAGAGCCAGGACTCATGAGGCCAGGAGACTGGAGCACTTCTCTCTTCTAGTTCTGCCCTTCTTTCGCTGTGTAAACTTGGCCCAAGCTATGGTTTCCTCGTCTGTAAAATGCAAACAGTTGCTTCGCTGGATGGTTGTAAGGATTCATGGGAACTCCGTGGTGCCTCAGGTGCAGGGTCTGGCACTTAATTCAGCATTCAGTACATGGTGACTTTTGCCTTTTTTGGTTTTTATGTTTAGGGTTCTCATTGTGAAGCAAGACTGAACTGTAGTAGAGTGCCTTTATTTTTGCTAATGAAATGCTATTAGAATGTAGGCCTCTCGGTTTGCAGGGGCCTCTGTTTCTTAGAAGAGAGAACATGTTTGCTAGCCTGCTGGCCTCCCCCTTTGCCTTGCCAACTCGGTCCTGCAGTTCCTGGCAGTTTGATCTTTATGACCACGTGGAGAAAGACGCAGAGCACAGTGAGCTGCTGCTGCGTCGCTCCTGGTGGGTGTGAAGTGTGGTAATTACACTAAACTGGCCAGGTGAACCGGGGTGCTGCGGAGGATTGACCCCGGATTGATCCTGGGCTTTTAAAATCACATGAAAAGCTTTTTCCAGTGTTGGTGTCTTCAATTCTCAATTCAGTGCACCTGAATCATGTTGGTAATCTTGCTGTGTGTGTTTACTTCTCAGTGCATTCTTCCCTGCCACGTGTGCAAAGTAATTATTTTAAAAGCTGGCATTTTGGTGTGTACTAAAACATGGAAATGGGCATCTTTATTTTCTCATTCAAACTTCTAAAACATTGCTCTTTATTTTTTGGCTAATATACATATTTTCCCATTGAAATAATTTTGCAGTAACCAGCATTTAAATGCAGTGCAAAATACTGATGAAGTAAAAAGCAAAAATCTTTCAATAATGGATGAACTGAAATCATTCTTTCTAAAAATGATTAGGACCTTCGGGAGAAAAACTGGGAAGCAATGGAAGCATTGGCCTCAACTGAAAAAATGCTGCAGGACAAAGTGAACAAGACTTCCAAGGTTGTAATGCTGATTCTTAGAAACAGTCCTGAACAGAGAAAATCTGCAGCGTGTCATAAAATCAGACTAAAGCATTTGATTTTACTGCAATTTAAATATCAAGTCTCCTTATCATCTGCATTTATCATTTCTGTCATCTCTGCTTTTTTTTCCATCTGCTCCCAGATTCTTGGGTTGTGGGCATGCTAATTTGTTGTGGTTACCTAATTGCTTGAGCTTTGGTGAGCACTACTGGAAGCTGATGAGTTACAGAGGATGTGTGATATCCCTTAGTCCCTAGTCGGAGGGAAGTGCACCTGCTGTGTTGTTCAGGAAAACTGCAGTGTAGCCTCCAGTCACAGATAGTAACAAGCATGCTGGAAAACTGAAGATTTAGGCACAGTTAGCTAGGTTTTGTGAGCATGTGAGAAGTCAGATAAGGTAGAAAAATGCGAAGGCTTCTTAATACAGGAAAGTGGTCAGTTCTGAGAAGACTCCTGGTGATAGTGCCCTAGAGGGAGTGGACTTAGACAGTGTGCGATGTTAGTAACAAGGGAATATTCTATTGACCAGAGTATGTAAATCACTTTGAACACATGACTCTGTCTCTTTGAGCTTAAGCCATTCCATTGGCTGTTAACATTTTCAGTGAGTTGTGGGAAAGTTGATGTTAAAGATTCAAGGAATTGGTGTATCAAACTAATCCTCCAACTGTAAGTGTCGGCATGCCACTTGGGTGCAGGTTTGTGTCCTGGCTGCTCCGCTTCCAATCCAGCTCCCTGCTATTGGCTTGAGAAAAGCAGCGGAGGATGGCTCAAGTCCTTGGGCACGCACGTGGGAGACCCAGAAGAAGTTTCTGACTTCAGATCAGCTGCAGCCACTACGGCCATTTGGGGAATGAACCAGCTGTGGAAAATCTTTTTCACTGGCACTCTTTATCTCTGTAAAATCTGTGTTTCAGGTAAAAATAAGTGAATCTTTAAAAAACAAGTTAGCCTTACGCAAAAGGAAAAACAATGGAAGGAATTGAATGTATCACTTCACATAAAAAATAAATGTGTGGAAAAGGAATATTGTATTTTGCAGATCTAATGAAGATGCTATATGACTGCGATAAACTTTCTCTAATTATTTTGTGTGCAGTGGTAATCAGAGTCAAGTAGGATGTTTAATTTTGAGTAGTCACGATTGTGCAGTCCTTTCCGTAGTTATTGTATGTGGTTTCTGGTTATTCCTATCACTGATTTAATTGTTATAAAATGCCTTTATGATTATTTCGTTAATGAGATTGTATATTGGAAGTGTTAGCTGTGTCATTCCTTCAAAGAATGTTTTTACTACCTGCTCTTGGCATTCCTACATGTTACGATTCCAAAAGAAAACTAGATTTATGCACTTGAAGGCATCTTGTGTAGGCTGTGGGCTACACAGATAGAATTCATAGTATTTTATCTTACAGTATTTTATCTCAGCACAATTTGGACACTCCCTGGATAGCATAGGTGTCAAGTGATGCTGATTGATTCGGTATCAAAAAATGTGTTAGAAAAGGAATTATGTAAAATACCTCTAGTATTTTATGATACATAATTTAAAAAATAAAAACGATTTAGAAGACACCATATCAGAAAGAATGATCTTCCAGGTGATGGTTCACTCCCCAAATGGCCATAACAGCCAAATCTGGGCCAGATGAAGCCAGAAGCCAGGAACTTTCTCCTTGTCTCCCCGATGGGTGGCAGAGGCCCAGACTCTTGGGCCATCTTCTGCTGCCTTCCCAGGCATTGTGCCATACCAGTTGAGGAGCTGCTTATGATGCTATCCAGTATTGGAGTGCTTGATGAAGTCCTGGCTGCTCTACTTGTAGCCTCTAGTGTTCAGTTTACATAAAATGTAACAGAAGATGATACATTGCTGTTCCCCGATGAATGATAGGCTTGCATACAAGATATTTTTATTTTAGCTAAAGATAGTAAGGAATTATAATATTAGGCCTTTTCTAGTGGTTAGAATAAAAACTGTTGTTATAATACAAACTACCTTGTCAAGGTACAGCCTTGAAGCTGAAGTTGTGTGATGCAACCGAAGTCACTTCTCCTTCCCCTGGCTCATAAATACAGATTATCTGCTTTAGTTGAATTGTTTTATCTTGGGATGTTTTCAGTTCCATGGCGTCTGTTTTCCTGACTGATTTCCTTGAAAGATTTATCTAACATTTCTCTGGTTAGATAATAAAAATGAGCTCTTCATTGTCTCTGAAATAGTAGCTAATTATTTTCTTTCAATTAATGTAACTCATGTGGTTAGGTATATTTCTGAAAGTCAGTGGACTTTACTGAATTATTGAAAATATTCCATTAAAACACCTGTTTAAAAAATATAATAACATTTTGTTTGTAGAATATGATGAAATCTGGCCTTGCACTGCCATGGATTTTTATGTAATTAGATTTTCTTAAATTGAAATTGACGTGCCTTACACTGGTAATAGCTTTACAGATCACATCTAAATGGTGGTGAAGATGTAATTGCCTTTGTGCTGGTCTGTGTGCACTCTTGTCACCTGTGGAACTTGATGATGTTGTTTAAACATGCTATCTTGGTGTGGCTTAGATGCACATTTTTATAGTGGTCTTGTTTTTTAATGTTGCACAGATAGGTTGAATAGATTTTTTTTTTGTTTGTTTTGCTGTGAGATCAAACCATCCTATTTTTGGCAAATCCTGGTTTTGAGTTTACAATTGATATCCGTTAGACTTTGGTTTAAAATCAGCCAAGTTAGACGTACACATTGGGAATACTTATCTTTAGATGTGTGACTGATGGAGACTGCTGGCAAATGTGAGAATTGTTTTGTCTTGATGTTCAGTCTTAGGCAGTGATGATTTTTCCTTGCTCTTCTTTCCATTCTGTCACCCATCAAATGTTGATGGTCCTTTTTGCTTTGTTTATCATGAATAGCTGCACTTGCCCTTTTAGCTGGAACTAATGAAAGTTACTGTTGAATTACCATGGTGTTGCAATTCATTAGTGATTGTTTTGTTTCCTTTTTTGTTATGTTTTTGGTAGGGACTTACCGTAATCAGGGACCTGTTAGGCTCAGGTGCATAGTTTTTGTAGTGTAGCTTAAAAAGTTGTAGAAAAATGGCTTGTGTATGTTTTAATTTGTGATTTCTTTGGGGTTGGGGAAGAGGCGCATTGCATGGATGTTTGTTTTTGAATTGTTCCTAGAGAGACACTTCATTTGATTTTTTTAATACCAAGGGAAACATCCTTATTGTCAAATATTATTTTGACTTGGTTACTGTCTAAGACATTATTTTCTGTTTAGGATGCTTTAGAGATTTTGCAGATTTTTTCTGAAGCATTTTAATATCTAAAAATAGGAAATGTTAACATTTGTTACTATTAAATAGTTTCTTCTTCTCTTGTTAAAAGACCATAGCTCTTTTTGAAAATTTTGTGATTTTATAGGTTTGATTTCATTCATCTTCTGCTTTAGGAAAGACAACAACATGTGGCAGCTGTCGAGTTGGAGGCTAAAGAAGTTCTCAAAAAATTGTTTCCAAAAGTGTCTGTACCTTCCAATTTGGTAAGATTAACTTACTTTTTTTGACATTTTCTTGTCATTATTAAGAAAGTTGTGAATCAGCAGCGTTTGCATCCTGTGCTTGGTTTCACTATTGATGTGGGAGTGCTTTCCAGTGGTTGTGATAAGTAACTGGACTCAAAATTCTGTGTATTCATATGATGCTTTTATTACGTCCCTTAAGTTTTACATATCAAACATCTTAGAAAGCCTATTAAGGTCACATTTGGGAAAGAACTGCTTCTGAATTGTTAATGAAATCGATAATTAACTTACTGGCTGTGTTCAAAATAGGACTTCATTTTAAGTGATTGTGTCTTAGTTTTACAAGTGCTTTATTTCTTCATACATTCAGTACTGTGAATTGGGGTTTTTCCATTTCCAAACTGAAAATGTTTGTTACTTGCTAACTTCTTCAAGCAGCAGTCTCAGCCTGTTTTGACCATTTGGGGAGTGAATCAGCAGTTGGAAGATATCTCTTTTTTATCTCTCTTCCTAGGAAGAGACTTTTAAATCAATAAATACATCTTTAAAAAAAAAAAGGAGAAGATAAGATAGAACATCTTGCTTTGCTTATTTAAGATTGTCATTTTTTAAGTGGAAGAAAAAAGTTACTTTTGTTCAAAAAACTTCAGTATGGTAAAGTTTAAAGTTTATGGTAAAGCCAGTGAGTAGGCATATGAGTTTCCTAAAATGGTAGATTTTTTTACTTTTATGAAAAATTGTGTTTATTTTTGAATAAAACATATATAGAATGGCAGAATTAGGGGCCCACTTCAGCATTTTCAGTATCTGAAATATGACATACATAGAATCTTATTTTACCTTCCATGACATACTTCCTGGCTTATTCTGAAGGAGTTCAAACACCAGTGTTTTATTTGTAAATGTTTTAGTACTTATTCCCTCAAAATTTAAAAAAATTATTTTCATTTAATTGGAAGACAGGTGGAGCTTAGTGGACCCACCTGCTGACTCATCCCCCAAGTGGCTTTAGGGGCGGAGCGTGGCTGCAGCCAGGAGTTGGGAGTACCATTCTGGTCTCCTACACGCACAGCAAAGACCCAGCATGCTGACTTGAAGCGTGCATGTTAGTGTGGAAAGTGGCTCAGGAGTCGAGTTCACTGATAAAGGCTGTGTGCATCCCAGCTGCCCCAATGCCCACCCTCATTGTGTGTTTCTAAAAAGCAGGAATTAAAAAAAAAGTAGGAATTCCTCTGGGTATCAGTTACTTCTCTGCTCTGCTTCCGACCCAGCTCCCTGCTAATGGCCTGAGAACAGCAGCAGAGAATGGCCCTGCCCACATGTGTGAGATCCAGATGAAGCTCCTGGTGCAGGTCTGGCCAACCCTAGCCATTTTGTCCTGGCACTGTGGCTGCAGATTAAGCCACCACCTGCAGCGCTGGCACACAGATGAGTCCTGGCTGCTTCACTTCCCGTCCTGTTACCTACTGATGAGTCTGGGAAGGGTAGTGAGGATGCTCCAAGTGCTTGGGCTCCTGCACCCACATGGACCAGGGAGAAGCTCCTGGTTCCTGACTTTGGTCTGGTCCAGTTCTGGCCATTTGGGAGTGAACCAGTGGATAGAAGATTCTCTACTTCTCAAATAAATAACATTTTTTATTTTTTAAAAATGTTAAAAACTCCTTTTAAAAATACTAATATTTAATTTTTAAAAGTGCCCTTAATTTTAATGTGGGAGTGTGAAGAAATTTATGGAAAAATGGAATTGAAAGAATAAAAATTCCCTATGAGATTTCCTCATATCTGTCAGTTACTTGGGCCATCTTCTGCTACTTTTTTCAGATGAATTAGCAGGCAGCTGGATTGAAAAATCTACTTTTCCAGATGAACTAATAGGTAGCTGGATTGGAAATGGAACAGCTGGGACTTGAACCAGCACTCATGGGATGCTGGCATTTCAGGCAAAAGGTGAACTGACTGCCATCACTCTGGCCATAGCATTCCTTTTTAATGGCAATACAACCTGCTGTTAAGAACCAAATCTTTTTTGACTAAATATCATAAGCAATAGGTATTTTTTTTTTAATAGGAACTTTTTTCAGGACCTCTGTTTTCACCCATTGCCTTTTTTTTTTTTTTTTTGAAAGATTTATTTATTTACTGGAAAGTCAGATATACAGAGAGGAGGAGAGACAGAGAGGAAGATCTTCTGTCTGATGATTCACTCCCCAAGTGAGCGCAACGGCCGATGTGAAGCCAGGATCCAGGAACCTCTTCCAGGTATCCCACATGGGTGCTGGGTCCCAAACCTTTGGGCCATCTTGTACTGCTTTCCCAGGCCACAAACAGGGAGCTGGATGGGAAGTGGAGCTGCCGGGACTTTAACCGGCGCCCATATGGGATCCCGGGCATTCATGGCAAGGACTTTTAGCAGCTAGGCCACGCCGCCTGGCCCAAGCAATAGGTATTATCTGATTTTTATGCATACATTGTTTGAATATTTCTGCATGTATCCAAAATTAAGGAATATATTAGGGCTCAGCGTTGTGGTGTGGCAAGTAAAGCCGCTGCGTATGATATTGGCATCCTGTATGTGCACCAGTTCAAGTCTCACCTGCTGACCTGCCTGGGAAGCAGCAGAGGATGGCCCAAGGCCTTGTGTCTCTGCCACTCACATGGGTGGCCTGGATGAAGCTCCTAGCTCCTGGCTCCAGGCCTAAGATCAGCCCAGCTTCAGCTGTTGTGGCCATTTGGGGACAGAATCAATGGATAAAGTTATCTCTCTCTCTTGCTCTCTCCCTTCCTCCTTCCGTCTCTTTGACTTTACCTTTCAAATAAATATTTAAGAAAATGTGTTAAACTTCCTATCTACTACAACCTAGCATTTTAAGTTTTGAACATATGAAGGCTAGTTAACCATAATAAAAGTCAGATTAATTAACATAAGTGGACAGTCATTAAAAATAAAGGGACTTTTATGTATGAAATAGATTTGTGTGTGCGTGTGTGTGTGTGTGTGTGTGTTTGCTATTCCTTTTTCACTAAGCAGATGAGCATAGAAGAAGTATGAACTGGAAGAGTTAGAGGAAAGTTTATTGACTCTAAGCAACTATATCAGTTTTCATTGCCTTTTAATTTATGTTAAATGCCAGTATTTGAAGCAGTTAAGTAGGATTTCAATAGTATTCATTTAGTCTTGACTCCGTGAGAAAACAGTTCTTGTAAGAAAACAGATTCTAGAAACGAATTTGATACTAGAGATATTGCGTTATAGAGTGATCTCAGCCTCCATTCTGTTTTCTATTTTCACTTGATTTTGATAGTTTACTGTGAATCTTGATTCAGTCCCATATAGAGTCAGAAATCATATGTGCTCTTTTGTCTTAAAACTAAATTGGAGACATAGGAGGAATAAGAGAAAATGCTGTTTGAAGAAATGGACAAGCGCTCCTCATCAAAATTTAAAATTCAGGCAAGAAGTATCAAATTTTTAAAATTTAGAATATGGAGTCCACCATGGTAGCCTAGCGCCTTGAACATGCCAGGATCCCATATGGGCACCTGTTCTAATCCCAGCAGCTACATTTCCCTTCCAGCTCCCTGCTTGTAGCCTAGGAAAGCAGTAGAAGAAGGCCCAAAGCCTTGGGACCATGCACCCACGTGGGAGACCCAGAAGAGGCTCCTGGCTCCTGGCTTTGGATCATTTCAACTCCAGCTGTTGTGGCCGCTTGGGGAATGAAATCAATGGACAAAAGATCTTCTCTGTCTCTCCTCCTCTCTGTATTATACCTGACTTTGCAACAGAAATAAAATAAATCTTTAAAAAAATTAAGAATATGATTAAAAGTATATTATGTGTTATTTACACTGGCTGACTTGTCTTCATAAGTTTTGTTACATTTATGTAAGTAAGCGCCTACATATGTCTCATGATCTTAAAGATAATTCATGAAGTTTTGTTTAAAGCTTTACTTATTCTGAATTTTGAGTTACAGAGACAGAGAGACACAGATGTTGATCTGCTGTTTGCTGATTCCCTTCCCAGTTGGCTGCACCAGTCATTGCTCAGCCAGGCTGAAGCCAGAGGGTTCTTCTGCATCCCCCTCCCCAGGAGGGCAGGGACCCAGACAATTGGACCATCTTCCCCTGCTTCTACCAGGCTGTGAGCAGGGAGCCGAGTTGGAAAGGGTGTGGTAGGGCGACCAGTTGGTACCCATATGGGATACTGGCGTATGGGTAGGTGGCAGCTTTATCCACTGTGCCACAATGCTGGTTCCGAGTTTCTTAGCTTGAAGGAATAATCCTTGGAGCACCTTCACAGAGATTTGAATCTTCTTAATAAAATATCTTCACTTGAACTCTGAGTTTATAAATTTGAAACATTTAACTTTCAAGAACTATTTTGCTTAGAGAAAACATTTTTTAAAAATTAACCATTCTGAGCTTTCTGTGTTGAAAGATTGAATATGTTAGTTCTGGCGCTAGTGATTGGTAGAGCCCATCTTTAAACTCGGGTCTTTTATTTCTGAGTCCAACATTCAATTGTCATCACTCTTGGTTAGGATAAACATTTTCATTTTGATGGTATCATATTGGTCAGTTTTTAGTGTCTATTTTGAAAATTTAGTTAAGTACAATTTGTGCAGCACTTTTCTGAAATTTCTGGTAAAGTGGTGCCTTGTGTTTGTAGGTTTCTGTCATAATTGAGTGTTATTTTTGAATGTTTACTCTATTTCATGTATATACAAATTCAAAATACATTTGGAAATTGACAGCCTTGACTGTTTTCCTCCACAGAGTTATAGTGAGTGGTTGCGTGGATTCGAGAAGAAGGCGAAGGAGTGTGTGGCTGGAGCTTCCGGGGCGGAGGAGGTCAAGGTTTGTTCAGGAGTGGAGCTCTCAGTGTTGCAAGCAAGCAGAAACGAGGAGGGGGCTGCAGCTGGCCTCTGTGTGCTTCGGAAGACAGTGACCCATTGTTGTAAAATGGTGATCTCTGGAGGAATCCTGTGACTCTGCCTTGCATTTATTTGCATGGCAAATGTTTTACCAGTTCTGTAGTCAACTCTGTATTAATCATGTCCCAAACCCAATGCCTAATTGTTGTGTATTTGCTTTTTAGCTTTATTATAAAAAGTGCAGAGCAGTTTAAGTAAGGTGGTAGACTCTTGTTGGCTTGCCGAAACATCTACAGATAGTCATTACAAATATTGAGAAACTGAATCGGTTTTTATTCTTAACTGCTAAAGCTAGAGGATTTGTTATTATGAATTGCTGTATCTTAAGTGGTCTGAGTGAAATCTCCTTTCCTGAGTGTTTAGCTTAGAGATCGTGGCCTTCACATGTGGATCTGCTTTGATTCTATGATCTGACTAAAGCGTAACAAGCCTATTTGTTCTAGAATTGTGTATTAATATTTTGTAGTGAGTATATCATTAGTTGAGAACCAAATGCCCAAACGATCATGGAATGTCATTGCGACTTAGAAGGGTTGAAATGCAGAGCTCCATCGTAAGACATTTTGAAACTGTTTGTTGTAATAAGTCATTAGGTATTGAACCAAATTTGAAACACAAAACTCCGAGGTTACAAATTACAGAACTTTATTTCATTCTTTGCAGGTTCTAGAGCACAAGTTGAAAGAAGCTGATGAGATGCACACGTTGTTACAGCTAGAGTGTGAAAAATACAAATCTGTACTCGCAGAAACAGTAGGAAATGGGTTTTAATCTACATTTTGGGTTTTTTTTTTTAAATTTGTATCTTTTTTCATGTTTGAAATAAGTCTGTTTTGACCTTAGAATGCAAATTTTGAAAACATCTATACTATTTTTATTTGTAGGAAGGAATTTTACAGAAGCTACAAAGAAGTGTAGAGCAAGAAGAAAACAAATGGAAAGTTAAGGTTGATGAATCACAGAAGACTATTAAACAGGTATTTTGTTGAGAGGTTAGAGCAGTGGGCCTCAGGGTGTAAGTGTTGATCCAGTGCCAGCATCCCCCAGAGGAGCACACACCCGAGAGGAGGCTGGAGGGCAGCGGTCGGTGTGTTGCTGAGGTCTCTGCGTGCTTCTCCTGTGCCTTCTCTCCCGTGCTGGAAACTGCTGAGGTGTGGAGTAAGACTCACAGAATAGAAAGGACTTTGTAGTTCTAGAATTAGTATGTGATAACATCAGGTGAATGGTGGCGGGGAGAAGAGTGGAGGGGGTATTCTCTGTGTCCATGGAACTGCATCATGAATAATAATAATAATAAAAAAAGCAACATCAAAATAAATTTTAGATCCAAACTAGTTCTTAAAATACTCATATTTAATCTCTGCTACAGTATTCAAGAAAAACTAGTCATTTTTCTGTTTGTGTGACTTGAATGTTACTGTGTAGTCTTCATTTTTCTCCCATTTACTTCAATGTAGTAAATGGTGCCATCTGTTACATTCTCAGGCCAATTTGTGCAGAATTTAGAGCTGCTGTTACTTCATGTTACTACTTTGGGATTACATGTATTTGTTAATTATTAATAAAAACTTATGTATTTTAAATAGGCCTAATTAAAACATCATGCAAATGAAATAGGTTTTGACCACAGTTTTAATCAAGTAGTATGTGAACCTCTCACTTTTCTGGACTTTTAGCAGTGTAGTTTGACTTGTATTGAGACAGGTTTTGAAACGTCTGAAACAAAACAGAAGCTTGGCATTTTGGGTCCTTTTCCTTGGTCCTGTAATTGTTGTATGTTTCAGATGCAGTCGTCATTCACATCTTCAGAACAAGAATTAGAGCGATTAAGAAGAGAAAATAAAGATATTGAAAATGTATGTACGTTAATGATTGGGCTTGTACTCTGTGAGCTCCTTTTTAGCAGTAGGGTTGTCTGATATGTTAAGGTTACTTGCATCTGGTGTTGCAATTATGCTCTTAATATTTCAGTGTTTGAGTTAATATGATATTTAAGAATATAAAGCCGTAGCTTTCCATTGTGGGGAAACATGAGAAGAAATCTTAAATGTGTTAAGTTTTCCTTCTTTGTTGCATTGCCAGCTGAGAAGAGAGCGAGAACATTTGGAAATGGAACTAGAGAAGGCAGAAATGGAGCGATCTACTTACGTGACGGAAGTCAGAGAGGTACTAACAACAAAATTGCTCAACCTTGCCTCTGTAGTCATGCTAAGTTTATATCAGAATGTTACTTCAGTTCAGTATAAAGTGTCTGTGGCAGAGCTTCCAAGTAGCTACAAAACATGGACTAACTCAAGGAGATCAATCTTAAACTCTAAACTTCATTGCAGCTGAAAGATCTGTTGACTGAATTGCAGAAAAAACTTGATGATTCATATTCTGAAGCAGTGAGACAGAATGAAGAGCTAACTTTGGTAAGCAGTTTGTTCTCCACGGGCATCAAGTAGGCTCTCACAGCACTCGTGCTGACCTGTGGAGACACTGGCTGGACTGTCCCCTGGCTAACCTTCTTAGCTTGACCTTCTGGAAGTTTCAGATACTCTTCCTGTTCTGGTGACTCCCATGATAAGCCTTCTTTGCTTGCCTCCTGAGATGTTTCTTCTCTTTCTAGCTCTTAACAATGGCATGTTCGGCTTCCAATTCCTTTTCAGATGTTTTCTGTTTTCTAAAGCCTGATTTCTTGAGCGATGTTATTTTCAGTGACTGAAGCAGAACAAAGATTGGCTAAATTGTGAAGATTACTTGTAATGCATGCTTAGTGTTAGAGCTATTTACAAACCCCACGAATCCCTCTTGGAGTCAGTAGACAGGATGCTGCTGGGGAAGAAAATTCAGAAGTGTGGCGATTAGTTCAGGTTGCTCACAGCACAGACTGGTGCAGTTGGCCAGGCCTTCTTGCACTCTGCCCTTCGATCAAGGGCATTTACACAACCTGGTAGTTGGCTTCAGTAGCTTTTCTAAGTTATAAATGACAAGCTTATAAAATTCTTTAATCCTAAAAATGTGAACTTGGAGTTAGCTACATGACTCAAGATACACAAAGCCCTCAATTCCAGTTCTTCAGCTTTCTGAACACTTGCACTCACAGCTTATGTAAGTGTGACACAGGCACGGCTGTCTTGGTCTCTGTGTTAAGTAATCATGTCTTCCTGTGACTTAAAATTGTTAACAATAAATGGTTAGATTTTTAAAAAAGGATCAAAATAAGCTCTGGGAAGATTACTTAAATTTGCTTCCTACTCAAAAGTTGCCTCACCCAGCTAGGACTGCTGCGTGTGCCAAGGAGAACCACACGTTCACCTGTAGTGTTGGTCGGCTGTGTTAGGCTAATCAGGGCTTAAGGAGCACCACATGACATCCACACACAGAGCCAGGTTCACACACAGGGCTATTCTTGTATCTCCGTGTTGACTCAAAGCTCTGATTTGTGGTTTTTGTTCTCTGTGAAGAGGGCATTTTGAGTGGTAATTGTTTGGATTTTTTTGTTTGTTAGGGGCATTTTTTTATTTGTTTGACCTTGAAAGTTTGGAATGCTTTTTTCAGTCCATTCCTTTGCTTAGGATAGCTGTTGCCGCATTGTAAGATAATTTTGTCTTTCTGTACATACTTTGTGTGCTTTCGGTCCAGAGGATTAACCAACCTCCTTGACATACAGAATTAAACTACCATTGGGATATTTACATTGAGTTTGTCAAATGAAGTTTCCATGTGAAATGCCCCCTTGTTAAGTTTTCTTTCCGTCTTTTAAGAATTTTTATTGAGAAGGCGTATATACTGAAGAGTTATAGAAAGATCTTCTATTTGGTGGTTCACCCCCTAAACAGATACAGCGGCTGGAGCTGAGCTGATATGAAACCAGGGACCAGGAATTCTTCCACGGTTCCTGTGCAGGTGCAGGGTCCCAAGCGTTTGGCCGTTCTCGACTGCTTTCCCAGGCCACAAGCAGGGAGCTGGATGGGAAATGCAGCAGCTGGGACATGAACTGGTGCTCATATGAGCTCCTGGCAGGTGCAAGGCAAGGATTTAGCCACTAGGCAACAGCAATGGACCCTTTCTTCAGTTTAAATGACTTATTTTCCTTTTTGGATTGCCAGAACTATCTGGAAAGTCATATCTATTGGTCAGAGGGCAAAAGCAATCGACTTAATGAGTTTAATGAAATAGAAGAGTTTTTCTTTTCTTTTTTTGCATTATAGTCTATTTCCTTATTTATATTTGATTGGAACAATTCCCAAAGAATACACACACACACACACGTATATATGTATATATGTATATACGTGCACAGATGCGCCAGACGGCCGTCGGCCATTGAGAAGTCACAGATACTCCTTTCTGATGTAGTTTAGAGCAATCTAGTCTTGCATAGTGTCTACTTCTAAAGGTCAGTGTCTTTTAAGAACATTACCAAATTGACTTATAATTGAAGTAAATGAAGAAAACCTTTGAGAATTGGTAAAATTTCTGTTTGTCTTTTAATTTGGAATACTTTCACTAAGTATTTTATGAGTAGTTTTTTTTTTTTTAATTTGGTTTACTTGGTATTTAATGATTCTGTTTTTACACTTGCAATTTTCTGCTCCAAACTTGAATTCATCTCTGTAGCTTTCTTATCTTTAGCTTTACAGCTGGGGAGCCTCCACTGCTTAGCTTCTCTATACACTCGGTGCAGCGTGTCGGCTCACCCAGCGTGCGTAGGAACTGTTGGTGGTTTCAATCTTTTACTTTCATTTTCAGCGCTAGAAGTGGCAGCATAATTGAAGAAGGGTGCAAGTGAAGCTAATTGTGGTTTTGCTTTATTTTTACAGTTGAAGACACAGTTAAATGAAACACACACAAAACTTAAAACTGAGCAAAACGAAACAAAGAAAGTAGCTGGTGATCTCCATAAGGTATGATGACGCTAGCTTGTCCTGGAGCTGCCGCCCCTGGGGCTGTGCTGGGCCTCAGTTCCTTGGCATCATTATATTAACTTGTTTATGAGTTTGGGCAGTGACAGTTTTTTGGAACTAAATTTTCTAACAGTGAAATTTTAAATTTAATTGGAGTTTTTCTTTAAAATCTGGTTAAATTATGGTTTTTCTAGCCATTCACAAAGAGTATTTTGGCTAAAACTAATAGATACAAAATAAGAAGAAATGAACATATATATGTTTCTCGTATTTCAGACTATGTTCCGATTATTTGCTTTTTATGCAGCTACTTTTTTCTTAATCTCATATACAGATGTGTGATATTTAGGCTTTCATGTGTTTCTCTTTGTCTTAAGGTGGCAGATTACTTGTTGTATGATTGGAAATGCTTTAGTCCAATTCATGTATGCTTGTGTGTCTGCTGTCTCAGAGACTCCACCATTAACTGCCCCAAAGCACAGTGTGTGAGGGTATCTGTTTCCATGTTTCCTAACTAGTACTGAATATTGTTATACATAATATTTGATATTTTTATTGATTGTTTTTTAGAATTAAAATTCTTTTGGGAAGTCACCTCTTAATAAATTGAACAAAGTAGTTTTTGCTGTTGCCTGTGCTGGTAGCGTGTAACTATCGCATTGCGAAAGTGTAGGAATCCAGAAGTGCTTTTGGCTGTTTCTCTGTACATGTGGACTTGAAAAGTTTTGGACCATCACACTTTAGTTTACACGTAGTTTACATGGTCAAAAGTTCAGGATGTCTTTTTACTTTGTTATTTTAATTTTTGACATCTGGATTAAAATGCAAAGTACAGTTTTAGTTTGGCAATGTAATTCTAAAAATACTTTAATGATAAATAGGTGCTCAAAGGTGTAAACTTGTGATGTTATTTCTGATTGCTAAAATAGTAATGATAGGTAATAGTTAACTGTCCTCCGTTTACACAGTAGAAATACTGTGTGATATTCAATATGAGATGCTCATAAATATTTATTGACCAAAAAAGGTTAGCAAATGCTTTGTGAAACAAGCAAATATAAAACAGCCTGTTTCTGTGAAACTTGTGCTGATTTTTAAAATAAGCACATGAGCCTGGAGAGGGGGCTGGAACAGGGGTCAGCAAACCCACCGACTGTCTTAGGGGTTGTAAACCACATGGGGTTTCTCTTCTCTCCCCTCTCTTCTCCTTCCTTCCTCTCTCTCTCGCTCTCTCTCTCTCTCCCTCCCCCTCCTTCCCCCTCCTTCCCTCCCTTTCTCTCCCCCCTCTCTCCCTCCTCCCTCCCCCTTCCTTTCTTTCTTTGACATAAACTTTTAAAGATGTAAATAACTGCCTGTGAGCTGTACACAGATTGGGGCCACATCAGGCTAACTCCTGTTCTAGACCAGGGTTCTCCTAAAATATAAGCAGTGATGCACGATTTTTATCATTTTAAATTCTTGAAAAAAGTGAACATGTGTATGTATATTCTGATGGGGAGTGGGAACTATTTTCAAGAAACTTTGTATTTTGAGAGAAACTGATTTTTCCCAAATATGTAGCGAGACAACTTCATGTACTTGTGTTTGTTTAACAGGTGTTTCATTCAGTAGCTGTTGTTCTGCTTTCTTCACAGGCCCAAAAGTTATTGGAACTAATCCAGTCGAAAATAGTTAAAGTTGCTGAAGACACTACCATTATTGAGAACAGTGATGTTTCCCCAGAAGTGGTATGCATTTTAACTTCAGATTTCTGGGTTAATTGCCCTGTTAACTGTTTGAAGCATAAAAAATAGAGATGGATCCATCTCAGACTGGTAAAATGTGTTCTATAAGTCATGTTGCACTCTCCATGAAGGTTATCTGTTTTTCATCTTATTTTTAACAAAAATGCAATGATTTTATTGTCGTTTTCACTTTGTGTGGATTTTAAGATTTGTGTAGAGAGGTAATTATGGAGTAGTGATGTGTATTTCCTTTATTGTAGACTTTAAGGTTTTCCCTCTGTGGCCGAATAACGTGTATAGGATAGTGTTCTTTGTCACTAGCAACTTTACACCTCTAGTTAGCAAGCAGCATTTCTCTGGCTTTCAGCAATTTTGATTTTTAAGTTCTTTTTGAGGTTGATGTTGGTGTTTCCTAGTTTTGGCTGCCAGGTCCTTCTCCTGGTGTGTGGAGGTCTCTATCGCTTGCTTCTTTGCAGGGTTCTTCTGAGAAGGAGACGATGTCTGTCAGTCTGAATCAGATTGTGACGCAGCTGCAGCAGTTGCTCCAGAGAGTGAACCAGCAGCTCACCCAGGACAAGTAGCGTGAGCAGGTGGGTTTGCTAGGGGCACCTGCAGGGCTGCTCTTGTCACCTGGGATTCCCGAATTGCTATAACTTATCAGGCTCTTCTTTTATGCTTGCAAATTGAGTGTCCCTTAACCAAAGTGCACTTAACCTCAAAGTGCTCCAAAGCCCGAACCTTTGCAACACTGAAATAATGCTCAACATTTTAGATTTTGAAGCTTTCTGTATTTCAGGTTTCTGGTTTGGGGTACTCAACTGTTTAACTATGGAAATTTTCCAAAACCTGAAAAAACTTCTCGGATCTAAAACATTTCTGCTCCCAAACATTTCAGATAAGAGATCCCAAGCCTGTGATGAGAGACTCAGGGCGGTTAGGAAATGTATTAATAAGTGCTCTGAAGTTGGTTAGTGGGCCTTGGCTTCATTGGTAGAGAACTCGGGTGGTTATGAGGCTGCTTGAATTTGGAGTTGGCCCCATGGATGACCTTGAGCGTTTTTGTTTTGCTGTGATGGTCTACTTATTTTAAGTCTTGTGAACCTTTTTTGTTTGCATATTTTCACATTTGCTTTAATAGTATTGTACTAGAAACTACAACACTTCTCTTTGATAACAGTATTTTTTTAATTCTGGATTTATGAAGTCACAATAATTTGTTAACATTATCACATCAGTCTTGATGACTTAGGTGGTTGACAGGCAGCTTCCCTAAGTGAAAACATAGCAACCTTCCCAGCTGACAGATGTAAATCCAAACGTGACAAGTGGCAGGATGGCTAACAGTGGTGTGTTATGAGTAATGTGACGGACGGTGTGAGAACAGAGCTGTGCTGAGCCCCGAGGGCTCTCCTTCCTTAGGTTCCAGCCAATCCTGACAATGGTAACTCCTTAGGTTTGTATGCAGAGGGCTACACAATTATTGTTTTCCCTTGTATGTTGGCATTACCTTTAACTGATGGTGAGTTCATCTTTTTGTGTATGCTTTTAAAACTGACATCAGATGATTAAATTGAAAACACTGTGTGTGATCTTTTTTTGAGATACATTTATTTGAATGGTTAGAGAGTTAGACAGGGATGTCCCATCTTGTTTCACTTGCCTAAATATCTCGTGACAGGCAGCTTGGGCCATGCTGGAGTTAGGAGCCAAGAACTCCATCTGGGTCTATTGTGTGAGCGGCACGGACCTTCCCAGGGTGTGCAGTGGAGGGTGCTGGAGCAGAAACAGCGGCTAGGACTTGAATCAACACTGTGTTGTGGGATGCCAGCATCCCAAGCGGTGCTGTAGTTCAACTCCTGAGAATAAGATGGGTTCATCTTCATGATGTAGAGAAGAGTTTATATCTGATGTTAAGAAGCCTTTTTATTTTTAAAGAAAGATGTTTTTATTTATATGAAAGAGAGGAAGTTTCCATCTGCTGGGTCACTCCCCAAATAACCACAGTGGTCAGGTTGGGCCAAAACTAGAGGCCAGGAGCTTTTTCCAGGTCTCCCAAGCACTTCATTGCTTTCCCAGGCGTATTAGTAGGTAGCTAGATGAGAATGGAGCAGCTGAGACTCGAACCGGTGTCCATATGGGATGCCGGCCTTGGAGGTTGTAGGCTTTACATGTTATGCCACAACACTGACCCCACAGAAATCTTTTTTAATTCACACTTCAAACAAGCATGACTTATTCAGGATTGTTCTGTACATGTTCAATAAAGAAAAATGTTTGAAATGAAAATAGACATCGTAATCTAAAATTTTTTTAAGATTTGTTTATTTATTTTTATTGCAAAGTCAGATATACAGACACAGAGAGGAAGATCTTCCGTCTGATGATTCACTCCCCAAGTGACCGCAATGGCTGGAGCTGAGCCAATCTGAAGCCAGGAGCCAGGAGCTTCTTCTGGGTCTCCCATGCTAGTGCAGGGTTCCAAGGTTTTGGACCATCCTCAACTGCTTTCTCAGGCCAGAAGCAGGGAGCTGGATGGGAAGTGGAGCAGCCAGAGCAGCCAGGATTAGAACTGGTGCCCCTATGGGATCCCAGCACATTCAAAGCGAGGACTTAAGGCGCTAGGCCACAGCTCTGGGCCCAGTAATTTAGATTTTTTAAGATGTGTTTTTATTTGAAAATCAGATTTACAGAGAGAAGAAGAGACAGAAAAGAGTCACCAATTGGCCACAGTGGCCGGAGCTGAGCTGATCTGGATCCGGAGCCGGGAGCCTCCTTTGCAGCAGCCTTCCTCAGCTGCTTCCCAGGCCCTTAGCAGGGAACTGGATCAGAAGTGGAGCAGCTGGGAGCGAGCCGGTGCCCACATGGAAAGCTGGTGCCACGGGCACAGGCTTAGGTTCCTCTGCATGGTGACAGCCCAGATACATGTTTACTTAGGATTTTGGATTGTTATAGGGGTTAGATGTGTTTAGTGTATAACTTGTAAAAATCTTAAACTTTGTTTTCCTTTTGGAAGTTGTCCTCTCTGTTTCGTATGGAGCGACAGGGAGTGGTTAAGGTGTGTGGATTGATGGCAGTCCTGTTCGTTATGTGCTACCTGTGTTCCAGGTGGCTCTTTCTCCTTGTTCACATTAGCTTGCTTTCTGAGTGTCCTGGTTTTTTGTATTTCTGACCAAATCCGGGAACTTTACTGTCCCAGCTTCCCTCCCGTTGGACCCAGTTTGTGGAGTCCTGAGAGGGAGAGGGGTGGGCGCAGCCGCTGGCCCTTGGTGGGTGTGCCAGTGAGCCCGGTGTGCGTGGAACATGCGGGCAGTCACTCTGCATCAGGTCGGCAGCTGTCAGGGTTGTTCCCTGGCCCTCTGCAGGCCCTGGCGGGTCAGAGTGCTCTGGTCCCTGCTCTTGGCTGGGCTTGCCCCTTCCCTGACTCAAGCACTCTACTTCCTGGTGCCTTTTATCTTTTTTTTTCTTTTTCCTATGTTCTAATTTCTTGGTGCCAGCCTCTTAAAGGTCATTTCAGTTCATTCTTTTTCCTTGAGTCGATACTTGGTATGTCATTGGTGAAATGGGGAAACCCACAGTATTAGCCATAAAAAATGGAGGTGAGGCTGTGTGTGTGTGTGTGTGTGTGTGTGTGTGTGTGTGTGTGTGTGTGTGTGTGTGTGTGTTTGTCCCTGCCTCCTTTGACAAGTAGATTCTTGCAGGATGCTGTCATCCTCTTGCTGAAGTACAAGAGTTAGTATTACAAATGGAGATGAGCTTCTATCTCCATACCTAATGCTTGGCTTTCCACAAGTCGGGCCTCATTTTACTGTAGTGTGTTTATGTAGGGTTTCAGAGTTTAATGAACTACTGGTCTGTGTAGACTCTCTCCTCAGCAACAGCTGGTGCTGACTGCTTTTTAAACATCTAATTGCTGCTTTCCTCTCTACTTTTTATTGTGAAAATGTTCACACGTCAAGCTGAAAGAGTAGGGGCAGCTCTTGGGCTCCTTGTTGAGCTGTGCTTTGGGACAGCTGTGTTCTGCATCTGAATGCCAGTGGCCTGCTCCTGGCGAGCTGTGCGGGGGGGCCCAAGGCCTGGGCTGCTCCCCACCTGGGGGAGGCCTGCAGTGACTTCCTGGCTCCTGGTCTCAGCCTTCCCAGTGGCCCCAGTCATGGTGGGCAGCCGGAAAGTGAAGCAGCCACTGGGGGCACTGCCTGAGCTGACAGAATAGTGTCACTCGTGAACTCTGTGTACGTCTGGCCCTGAGTATTTTGCTGATGTGAAAGCATTTGAAGGCGAGGTTGGGTCTTCATGGCGCCTTTGAGGACCTCAGAACCAGGGCATTCTCTTTGAAATCCATAGTGTTGTCATCATAGCCAACAAGGTTAAACAGTATTCTTTTATGATTACTTTAACTTATCATTTACCACGAGTTTTATAGGTTAAGGATTCTTCCCTCCCCCTCCCTTCCCGTTTTCCCTCCTGCGATTTGTTGAATATCCAGTACTGTTTTCACATTCAAGTTTCTTTGGTTGCACCCAGAATCACTTTTTGTTGATTTTCTGGCAGCCAGTATCCAAATTGAAATCTTGTGTTTGATTAATAAGTCACTTTATTGTCTAGTTATTTTAAAATTTCAGTTCTTCTAGTTATCTGAGCCAGGAAACACGTGATGTCAGAGTCCTACTTAAATTTCAGCGTCTTCCCTTTTCAGGCGTGCCCACCTTCATCATCTTTACATTCCCTGGAGTAAGACTAATGAAAAGGAATTCCCAGTGGGGCTTTCTGGCTCACGTGTTAAAACGTCTGCGTAGAGGGGCCAATGTTGTGGCACACAGGCATCTCATTGGAGCACTGGTTTGATCCCTGGCTGCTCAGCTTCCTGTTAATGAACCTGGGAAAGTAACAGGATGGCTGAAGATTGGGCCTCTTCCACTGACACTGGAGCCCAGGATGCAGTTCCAGCTCCTGTGTTTGCCTGGACCAACCCTGGCTACTATGGCCATTTTGGGAGTGAATCATTGGGTGCAAGACTTCTGTCACTTTGCCTATCAAGTAAATTAATCTTTCAATGTCTGCGTAAAAACTTCTTTGTTCTGAATACTGCTTTTTGTTTTGTTTTGTTTTGCTTGCCGTTAGTATGAGTTAGTTTGCATCGAGTTAAAAGGGCCCCATTAGATCAAATGGAATAAATACAAGACAGATGTCTTCTGGTTGCTTTTAGTTGCTTTGTTGTTAAAATGGATTTCTTTCTGATCTCTTGCAGAATGAAGTAATTGGGAAACTGTTCATTGGAGGAGAACAGAAGGCATTGTATTATATTTTGCCAAATTAAAGCCTTATTTATGTTTCCACCCTTTCTACTTCGTCAGAAACACTGAACAGAGCTCTGTCTTTTATAATCCTTGTTAGACTACTGATTTCAAGAGGAAAATCTAAAAAGCCAACTCTGTAGACACCTTCAGAGTTTAGTTTTATAATAAAAACTGTTTGAATAATTAGACCTTTACATTCCTGAAGAGAAAATAAACATGTTTATCTTTTATTTTGCTCAATAAAATTGTTCAGAAGATCAAAGTGGTAAAGACCATGTGAAATCTAACATTTTAATACTGATGTTGTACACTGTTTTACTTAACATTTTGAGGAGCAACTCCTCTGACTTCAACTCAAGAAACACTTTTTGTTGCTAATGTAATCTGTTTTTGTAATGGCAGCAAATAAAGGGATGCTTCTTATTCAAACTTGACTTACTGTGAATTTCATTGGCCTGTGCTGCCATCCCGAATGCTCCGGATCAACATTGACTTGTCCCACAGCTGCCAAGGTTCTAAGACAGGACAGCTTTGCTTGGCCCTCCCACTGGAGCCCAGGGTCTCCCTCCTGTGTCGAGGAGGTCTTCCCGTGCCCACTGTCGGGAGGTCTGTCTGTGCCCACTGTCGGGGAGGTCTTCCTGTGCCCACTGTCGGGGAGGTCTGTCTGTGCCCACTGTCGGGGAGGTCTGTCTGTGCCCACTGTCTGGAGGTCTTCCTGTGCCCACTTTCGGGAGGTCTGTCTGTGCCCACTGTCGGGGAGGTCTGTTTGTGCCCACTGTCGGGGAGGTCTGTCTGTGCCCACTGTCGGGGAGGTCTGTTTGTGCCCACTGTCGGGAGGTCTTCCTGTGCCTACTGTCGGGAGGACTTCCTGTGCCCACTGTCGGGGAGGTCTACCTGTGCCCACTGTCGGGAGGTCTTCTGTGCCCACTGTTGGGAGGTCTTCCTGTGCCCACTGTCGGGGAGGTCTGTCTGTGCCCACTGTCGGGAGGTCTGTCTGTGCCCACTGTCGGGAAGTCTGTCTGTGCCCACTGTCGGGAGGTCTTCCCGTGCCCACTGTTCGGGAGGTCTGTCTGTGCCCACTGTCGGGATGTCTTCCTGTGCCCACTGTCGGGAGGTCTGTCTGTGCCCACTTTAGGGAGGTCTTCCCGTGCCCACTGTCGGGAGGTCTGTCTGTGCCCACTGTCGGGAGGTCTTCCCGTGCCCACTGTCAGGGAGGTCTGTCTGTGCCCACTGTCGGGAGGTCTGTCTGTGCCTACTGTCGGGAGGTCTTCCTGTGCCCACTGTCGGGAGGTCTTCCCGTGCCCACTGTCGGGAGGTCTGTCTGTGCCCACTGTCGGGAGGTCTGTCTGTACCCACTGTCGGGAGGTCTGTCTGTGCCCACTGTCGGGAGGTCTGTCTGTGCCCACTGTCGGGAGGTCTGTCTGTGCCCACTGTCGGGAGGTCTTCCCGTGCCCACTGTCGGGGAGGTCTGTTTGTGCCCACTGTCGGGGAGGTCTTCCTGTGCCCACTGTCGGGAGGTCTTCCTGTGCCCACTGTCGGGAGGTCTGTCTGTGCCCACTGTCGGGGAGGTCTACCCGTGCCCACTGTCGGGAGGTCTGTCTGTGCCCACTGTCGGGAGGTCTTCCTGTGCCCACTGTCGGGAGGTCTGTCTGTGCCCACTGTCGGGAGGTCTTCCTGTGCCCACTGTCGGGAGGTCTTCCCGTGCCCACTGTCGGGAGGTCTTCCTGTGCCCACTGTCGGGAGGTCTTCCTGTGCCCACTGTCGGGAGGTCTTCCTGTGCCCACTGTAGGTTACAGAGCACAAGCTTTCAGGCTTTTGGATCTGTACCGCAGGAAGACCAAGGCAGCTTTGTTTTTGCTATTGTTTCTTTAGTAGGAATACTTTCTGTTGTTTCTTCTGTAGGAATCAGCTTTTCCATTTCCTTTTCAGGTAGAATGTTACAGAGTCAACATCTGTTATCTTCTTTCTTGAGAGAGGTTGTTATTATTATTATTATTAACAATCCCTTGCGCCGCTGAGCATGGCTGTGCCTGACAGGCCAGAGCAGAGCTCATGCAGCTGCTCTTTGTCCAGCACCCAGAGCTCCCCTGGGCTGGGTCACTCCTTGCACCACAATGTCAGCTCTGTGAGCACATGGGGTCTTTGGTGTTCTGTTTGCTGCACACGGAGAAAATGCCCAACACTTTGTTGTGCTCTAGGGATGGAATTCACTGTCAGAGCTCAGAATATTTTCACAGATAGCCTGCTGTCTGGCCATGTTCACAGCACACAGGGCGGGCAGAGACGGACGGCTGGTATGGGCTGGCTGGGGCCTCTGGCTCGTCACGCCTGGTCCAGATATTCATCTGTGGGCCAAACAGTGTTGGCAGCCTCTTGCCTCTTTCCCTGTGCCACAGCTCGTGAAGCCGTTCACTGCCACAGCGGACACCCAGAGCCGTCCTTCGCATTGGGATGGGCAGGGCTGTGACAGAACTAAGCAGTTCCGGGGCCGGGGGATAGTGAGTCATGGAAACCAGGGGAGATGACCAGAACTGTATGCAAATACATCCACGTACATTGGTATTTTAACCTCCCAGGATGTGTGAATATTTTTTAAAAATTATTTTTCATTTTTTTTTAAATGACTATTTCTAACAAAAAAGTGTAGGAAGTAAGACCCTCCATCTTCTCCCAGTTACTGGTGATTTATCCTGCTACGGGTTCCGGTAGAAGTGAGGCCCTGGTGAGCGTCCCAAGGAGCCCCCACCGCTCCTGCGCCCTCCTCCAGATGCAGCGCTGTCCTGACCCTGGGCTTGGTCCTCGGCAGTACACTGATGCCTGTGGGTGTAGCCACAAGCCTGGTGCAGCTTTGCAGCTCCGCCGTGTGCTGCCTTTGCTTCAAAGGAGCTGACAGTTCACACACATTATTCATCCTGACCCATGAAACCATGGTATACTGTACATACAACAGTTCTGCTAAGGGACACTCAGATTGTCACCAGTTTATGGAAATGTTAGATTTCATCTTAAGTTCCTTTCAGAGAGGTTTTTGGTGTGATTTTGGGCAGTATTTGTTTTATATGCTTCACTTCTGTAGATTTGCTAAAGGATTGTCTTCCAATTGTTGGACAAGTGAACATGACCTGAATGACTTAAATTTCCTGAATGTGTGGAGACTTCAGAAGAAAGAAACCAACTACACACAGAAAAAGCATATTTAGTCTTGGTTTACAATAAAAGGGTTATCAGCAAGAATGTGACTATCCTGTCACCATGCTTGGCAGGCGCTCACAGTGATGATGGATGGTATGATGGATGGGGCAGCCGAGAACACACGGGGAACCCTTTTCCTGCATGCCAGGTCCGGGTAAGCAGGATTGAGCCCTATTAAACCACCTGCCACCCACAGCCCATTTCACAGGGAGGGATTGACTGACGCCCAGCACAGCCAGCCCCGTACCTTTGGAGGCCTGCTTCCTCTGCTCTTTCCTGTCCTTTGCTGAGCAGCACCATCTGCACAGCAGGGATTCTAGCACTTTCATCAAGATGACTGAAGATGAAGGGCTGTGAGATAGGCCGTGGCACAGGGAAAGTGCTCAATGGATATTCCTCTTACACAGCATCATCTGCCGCCTTTTCCTCCTTGGATTTTTGTTTTAAGGATTTATGTATTTGAAAGGCACAGTGCCAGAGAGAGATGGAGAAAGAAATATCTTCCGTCTGCTGGTTTGTGTCCCAAATGGCTACTCCAGCCAGGACTGAGTCCAGTAAAAATAGGATCCAGAAATTCCATCTTAGTTTCCCACATGGGTTGGCAGCAGCTTGAGTACATGGGTCATCTGCCACTTTTCATTGACAAGAAGCTGGGTCAGAAGTGGAGTAGCTGGAACTTGAACTAGTGTTGTGATCAATGGGACCCTGCTGAGACCTGAGAGTGGCAGCTTAACCCACTATGCCTCCACACCCGCGGTGGTCCTGTACATGTTAATACGCAGAACATCTGGTAGTATAATGGAGTTGAAGTTCAGGTGTGATGCCAAGTACGGTCCCTGGCTCCAGAGATGGGATCTGCAGAGCAGGTGCTCGGTGTGTTACAATGTTGTGTGTCCTTGGTGGAACCTAGAAGAGCAGACCCAAAGCTGGGGCAGGACTGAGCCAGGAGCCTGGGGCCCGAGTTGTGTAACTCACCAGGTTGCGTCATGTGGCCAACGTCTCGTTCCAGCATAGGAAGTTAGCAGGCCAGCCCAGGAGTTTGTGCCTTCTCTCTTGCTGCTTGTCTCCTGCCACACGGGAGGGATGCAGATGAGCGTGGACTCCTCTGGGAAGTGGAGAGACTAGCAGCTTGGCCTGAGGCCTGCCTGAGATGCTTGGCTGTGGCTGAGGTGTCTGCTGGGGAACAAGCTGTTTTGCTGCCCCCCCCCCCCGCCCCCATGTCTGCGCAGTCCAGGGCCAGGTGCTGGAGCTGTTTTAGGCAACTGACTTCAGGAACTTCAGGAATTACTCTCCAGCATCCCCAAGCTGCCAGTCTGTAATTGCTGTCTTTTCTCCCTCCTTCCCTCTTTTCTCCCCGCTCCCTTCCTGGGCACAAATGTCAGTCATCTGCTTTTCCAGTGACAGTGAGCCTGATTCAGACGCTTAGCAAACTTCTCACTGGATTTTTTACCTGTTCTTAGGACCCTAAGCTCCTCTCGGACAACCAGGGGCTCACGAATTTGGCGGAAGGGAACTGTCCTGGGCCAAGCCCAGCCTGGATGACCATGCTTGGTCTTAGCTAAAAGCCAGAAGTGATAGAGAAGGCTCCTAGGATCAGGGCACAAGGCTTGGGAAAGGCTTCTGTGATATGAACTGGGAGGCAGGGCCAAGCCAGGCTGAGAAAGGAGAGGAACCAGAGCAAGCAGTTGCTATGTCGTTACAGTAACATGTGCTTCATTTACAGGGAGGCATCACCTCCCCAGGGTGCTCAGAGACCACAAATGGGGTTTCACAGGGCAGCCGCATGCCCCACACCAGGCATGGCACTCAGAAGTGGCTCCATCCCTGTCGCATCGCCACGACCCATGCAGTCTCATGCCCTTTCAATACTGATAGAAGCCAAGACTCAGAGTTCAAACCACTGACCTCAAACCGCAGAGGGCACGTGGCAGCCTCACTGCAAACCCCGGGGCTGTTTCCTTTTTTTTCTCAGTTTTTATTTTTATTGGAAGGCTAGATTTACGTAGAGGAGACAAACATCTTGGATCTGTTGGCTCACTGTCCAAGTGTTTGATGACTAGGCTCCAAGGC